TGTGTGAAAAATATTGTATGGTATTCGTTTTATGTAGAGCTAAATTAGTTTGTAGATTACAAGATTAAACGTGTTCAAGTTTTTAAAACTGAGAACCTCTTTTAAACTATTGATAGGTATTTTTATGATCAAGACCCGAAAATTGATAAAGTAAAAGAATTTTAATAAAGAATTTTTAAATTTTGCTTCCCATTATGCAAGAAGCTTATTTTCTTCATTAATATGTACCACGGAAAGAATATAAATTTATACAGCGTTTTTTTTTTTTCATGTATACTCCCTCCCGCCTCACCCAGGCGGGCGAAGTCATTCGATAATAATCCACCCTTAAAAAAAAATATATAGTTGCCAACCCATTTTTGAAATATCAAACGTAGTGTTATTATCTGCCACCGTAAGCGCGGGCCTGCGGATGGCGAGCATGGGTGGCTCGCCGCCCGACCAGAACCAGACCCAAACGTACGTCGCGTCACGTACCGCGTACGCTTCAAAGAGCCATCAGGCCACCACGGATTGGGTCCGAATACGGAGTTGTGGAGAACCTAACGGGTTACCGGGGCTCTGGCTCGAAGTGCAGGAGTAGGAACGGGGTGGTTTTTAGTCAGTTAGAGTCTGACACTCCCTCCCACCTCACACAGGCGGGAGAAGTCATTCGATGATTTTCCCCCCTTAAAAAAAGTATTATTATTTAGTGATGTTTTGACCCACTTAGATACATAACAATCCTAAAGATACATAATAATTTGCAAATTACTTCTAAATATTCTTAGTAAAATATATAATATTTTTTCAATCCACAAACCATTGACATTAGCATTTATCCTACTTATGAATTCACATCAGAATGACGAATATCTAGAGGTCTGATGAAATCAATTATTCAAAATCAAATTCATTGTTTCTCTAAATACGAATGAAATTTCGAATAATTTTGTTTTCTTTTTTCATTTCAAATTCTCGTGATTAGAATTTATATTATGAATTTATGACTACGTTATAATAATAATCGTAGGAAATTTATTTTTGACTTAAAATAAACCTGTTTAAATATAATCCCCTAAATTTGTTCATACAAAAATAGTCTCTAAACATCGGAAATAAGGTATACCTAATGTAGTTATAGTGGAGAGCGGTCACCGGTGACCGCTTGGGGAAAAATGGGTATACAAGAACTACCCGGCTTCTGGAATCTACAACGATAAAGCCTGCGAAGCGAGAGGTCATTGTGATAATAACTTGTTTCGATTTAGAACTTTCTCTTGTGTCGTGAGTATATTTGTACGTATACAAATTTACAAACATACTACGTCTATAAATATCCAAAACAACAATAAGTGCATCACAAAAAGTGTTAAAATGTGTGTGTAAAACTGAACTGAAATACGATAAACTAATTAGTTTATCGTATTATTCTGTCCGATATGGTAATCAAACTCAAGATTTTATATCAAACAAGAACTTCAATCTTCAGTTATAAACTTTTTGGTTCTAAGGACCATTTTAGTGGTTACAAAATTGAAACTTATGCGGTTTAATTAAAATTGGGTTTGCTAAAACAAAGCGCTTATTAAAACCATCCATGATTTATGTTCCAGATAATCTTAATATCAGCTTTACCTAAAAACATGGATAACAATTTTGTTACTTAACTACTATAACGTAGATATGACATGCCATGCTTCGATGGGAATGGGCTGGTTCGACCGGAGTGACATCACGGCCTCACAGAAAAAACCGACGTGAAACAACGCTAACCTTAAGGGATATGCAGTACCTATGTACCTCATGCTTAAAATGTGTTGTCTCTTGTAATATTGTCTGTATGGTGTGGGTACATGAAATAATAAATAAATAAATAAATAAACGCTTGCGTTGTGTTTCGTCGTATAAGTTAAGTTACCGGAGGCCCAATTACGCCCCTCCTCAATCTCCCCTATCCCCGAATCTCTAACAACCTTCAAATTCATAAATCCCCAAAAGCCTTGTAACGCCTTTGGTGTTTCAGGTGTCTATGGGTGGCGCCGATTGCCTACGATCAGCTGATTTTACCGGCTTATACAGTTACGAATTTAAGATTGATTTAGCACCGTTTTTATTAAAAAAAAAACATTGCCCCACACTAGGATTACCTCCGGCTATCTCCTGTCGTAGGTGCATTTACAAATATATAAGTTCACATACACATGACATCCAGACCCGAAACAACAATTTGTGGATCACACAAAGTGTTGTTCCGTGCGGGAATCGAACCCGCGACACATTGCACGGCAGCCGGTTGCCCAGCCACCGCACCAACCGTGCAGTCAAATATAGTCGTTCGTATAGTTTTAAACGCCATATTTAGACTAATAGTCTAAGTAGATGGTTCTACTTCATGAATGTCTTATTACCGACTGTAAAAAAAGAGGAGTTACTATGTTTGAATTATTGTTTTGTTCATAGCTTGTAACAAAATATTATAACTTAATGGCTATACTTTATATTAGGTAAAGTTTTAATGAAGAGTTTGATTTATAACTTTATGATAACCACTTCTAACCTATCAATAGGTTAGTCTGTGGTTGGTATAATATAACATCACGCCTTTTCTCCCCGAAGGGGTAGGCAGAGGTAGAGGTGCACATTATACCACTGTACAATGTAATACCGACTTTTCACCATTTATGTCATGAGTCCCATGTAATAGGGGGTGGGCCTATTGCCATATACCGGAATTACCGGACACAATTCCAGACTCCGTGCTACTACTGAGATTTTTTTTATAACCCAGTAATATTTTGCGCGACACGGGATTCGAACCCGAGACCCCTTGCCCGGCAGTCGCACTTGCGACCACTCGGCCAACGAGGCAGTCAATACGTATTCAAGTCAGTACGGATGATTGAAATGGTTTTTAGCGCACGTACATCAGTATTACACTTTGAACATGCATATGAATGCTGTCCCTCACCGAGAAATCATTACACATCCTCATATTTACGACTTATAATAAACAAAACCTTTTCTCATTATATTAATTTTTCGCTGCAAAAGAAATATTTAGCGCCATCTATGAAACGTTACTTGAAATATTTAAACTATTGCGCAATGTTAGAGCACCCTATGCATTGTCAACAAAATAGAGGAATTAAAGTTTTACTATATGCCCATAGATGGCGTTAAAACATGATCTATTTGTTTTTAAAATGTTTATATATACAACAAAGAGAGATGAGAGGCGATATAAAATTAAAGACGCAACAAAAAAAAAGAATTAGCGAAACTGGTTCAGAGCTTTTCTCGAGACTTGCGCTCAGCAGCATTTGACTATATATTTTTGTATTATAGGTATATAGTGAGGAGTCCCTATATAAGTTTTCGAATTACTAATTTGGTATAGTGGTCACCGGTGACCGCTCTCCACTAACTACATCATAGACCTTATTTCCAATGTTTAGAGACTATTTTTGTATGAACAAATTTAGGGGATGATTTTCAACAGGATATTTACAAATTTTAAAAAATGCGAAATCAATCACAATGCCAAAAAAGGAGATAAGATAGGAAATCCCCTTAAATTTACTCAACTCGTTTTAAGTACCCTTAGATTCTGTTGTAAATAATAACATAACATCACGCCTTTTTGTCCCCGAAGGCGTAGGCAGAGGTGCACATTACGGCACTTAATGCCACTGTACAATGTAACACCCACTTTTCACTATTTATGTTATGAGTCCCATGTAATAGGGGTTGAGCCTATTGCCATATACCGGGCACAATTCCAGACTCCTTGCTGCTACTGAGATTTTTATAAAAACTCAGTAACATTTTGCTCGACCCGGGAATCGAACCCGAGACCCCTTGACTGGCAGTCGCACTTGCGACCACACGGCCAACGAGGCGGTCAAATTGTAAATAATCTATTTATGTATAATAATTGTACTTTATAAGCCATTTCACATAAATAAGTATGAGCTTCTATCAATAACTCGTTTATCAATAATAATTTAAATAATTAGTCAAATCATTTCAAACCTGATCAACTGACTTTTTGAATGACCTTAAAAATTGCGTATGACGTCAAGTATTTGGCTTTTTTATCATATCATCATATAATATTACCTCTATAATCGTATAATGAGTATGCAAATCTGAGGATCAAACGATCACTCATATCTAAAACTAGTTGTTGCCTGCGATTTCGTTTAAGTATTTCTTTTTTGTTCTTTATGTAGTATTGTGAACAGGAAAGGGGTACATCACTACATAAAACAAAGTCGCTATCCAGCGTCTGTCTGTCTCTATGTACGCTTAGATCTTTAAAACTACGCAACGGATTTTGATGCGGTTTTCTTTAATAGATAGAGTGATTCTTAAGGAAGGTTTATATGTATAATACATGTATATTGCACCCGTGCGAAGCTGGAGCGGGTCGCTAGTTATAACAATAAAAAGCTAAAGAAGGAAAAGAATAATAATAAAACGTTAATATTACTGTTTAAACATGACTACAACCCTTTACAACATCACATTTAATCAGAATTGGCAATTGTAAACAATAATATCATAATATAAACGAATTCATAAATAATTTGATAGTCAATTAATAAAACTTTCGTGATTTTTATAAGACAAAAACAGCATTCATGCGATTCTAGAATATACTCATTCATGTCTTTTAATGGGATAAGCCGATAAACGAGCAGACGGATCACGTGATGAGAAGCAATCGGCGCCGCTCATATGGGTACCCGGAACACCAGAAGCGTTAGAAGTACGTTACCGGCTTTTTGAGGATTAGGTATTTGAGGACTCGCTCACATGACGAAACACAACGCAATTAATGTTTCACGTCGGTTTTCTGTGAGGTCATGGTATTACTCCGGTCGAGCCTAAATATCATCATTTAATATCCAAATATCTAGCGTGTGAAAAACAAACAATCGCACAAATATTTATATTTATTTACTACCCATTGATAACACAATATAATTTACGATATTACTTCAATAAGAAGATTATTTTAATACAACATTGTCTTTATTGATTTATACGTAACGGTATCTATAGTGAGGGACGCATAAAAATTTAGATGTTTATACTCTGACGTCCAGACAAAATATACTCATCATTAATTTCAATTGAGCTACATTCAATTTAGTTTATTATCAGACTCACCAACTAAGAACTCAGTCTTATCTAGCAATCAGATAATATATGTAGTGCGAGCGCTCTCAAATAATTTATTTACATAATAAATCATTGTGAAATTGCTTCCTTAATAAGTGGTTTATAAATATAATATTAATTTACAGTGTTTGTTAATAAGTGAGAGTGAATATGTAAACTTATTAATGTACGGTGTAAATGGTGTGTAAACTTAATGTAGAGGTAAATTAGTGAAAAATCGTTTGTAAACGAATGTGAATGAACTTGTAAATTTCATGTAAATAAATAAAAAAACGAAGTGTTTGTTTGTGTTAAACGTTTGTGGTAAATTAAAAGTGAATTTATAATTATAGAATGATAATATAAAGTGTCGAGTGGAAATGTGTTTATTAAACTCGGTATATAAAACTATTAAATCTTCAATGATATAAGTATAAAATCATGAAAAGATTGTGAAATTTAATATTAACGTTCATAAATAATTTTCATAGCTAGTACTCATAAACCTGCATTGTACTGTGAGTGTCTTGTCTACATAAAACTCTCAAAGGTAATTCCCTTGCATTTTATCTAGACTTAAATCATTAATAGGTATCACTTTATCTGATTAGGTACATAATTTCCATTTATGAATTATTGAATGTAGTTGACGAAGATTTAATAGTCATTAGTCTACAAACACAGTTTGTTTTATAGCATAAGCCGGGTAAACGAGCAGACGGATCACCTGATGGTGAGCAATCGAAGCCGCTCATGAACACCCGAAACACTAAAGCGTTACAAGTGCGTTACCGGCCTTTTGGGAATTGGAACTTTGAGGATTGTGGAGGATTCGGGGATTCGGGAGACTAGTGAGGGGGGTAATTGGGCCTCCTTTTTTCTTATTAATCATTACCATCTTCATGATTTTTTTTATGAGATATGCTAGTAAAGTAGCAGCTGGATCACCTGATGGTAAGCAATCGGCGTCGCCCATTGATACGCCAAATACTAGAGGCGTCACAAGTGCGTTACTGGTCCAATCGTGCAGGTCACATACAAAATTCTACTTTGATCTCTACTTACTTCTTTGATTGTCATTTTTTCATATATTAATTATTTTCTAGAAATTAATTATACTGTAACTAATTATAACAAGAATACTTCTTCCGTATACGCTTCTTTCAAAAACGATTAAATTATAATTAAGGTACGAACTTCTTAGAACGAAGTTCTTCCCAACGTTTGCCAGATATAACAGTATTATTGGATAAAGCGACGCAAACCGATTTCAGTACAAAAATAACTAATAAATATTTGAAGCAAATATTTATTTTCGTAATAATAAGGTGTGATGATTTTAGAATTATTTGAACATATGTGAGATCCATGTGTTTGGTGGGTCGAATTGTTCTTTTATGTTCGTTAGTTCGTTAGTTCGTTAGTAACCCGCGATTTTTTAGAAAAATATCTACCGTAAGTAATGGTCTGAAGATCTTGGATCCATCTTAAAAAAAGTAAAGATACAGATCTTACCTGCAATATGTACCTACATATTTTATATTAGGTACATTTTGCCCGGTATAATTATGGCAATAGGCTCACTTCCTATTACATGAGACTTGTGCACCTCTGCCTCCTCCTTCGGGGATAAAAAGGCGTGATGTTATGTACTACATACTGCTAATGATAAATTTTTTACCTATTTTCGTTTCAGTGACAATAAATCATGTTGGCAGCAAAGAAACTGATCGTCTACATTGGTATCCCGCTGGTGGCGTTACTGGTTGTGGTGGGGATTGCTTTAGGATTCATATTTTATTACAAAGAGTGAGTATTTGAAATCATTGGTTTGACGACCCTTAAATTGCTACATTTTGATGTGTGTCAAAGTAAATGTATCACTCACAGTGTAACTTGTTTAGTACTGAAAATTGTGCTCGAGATAATGCATTTGAATATCTGCCACGCTTAAGGTCTTACATGGAATCGTCAGAAAAGATATATGTACAGCCTGCACAGTTACATGGTATCATCATCATCATCATCATCATAAATGCATCTGCTGACCAAAGGCACGGATAAGGTTTGAGCATTAATCACGACGCTTGCTCAATGCGGGTTGGCGATTTCAAACTTATAATTAGGCAATAAAGGCCCATGTTTCCTCACGATGTTTTGCTTTATCGTTTGTTAGTGGTGTTTAATTATCTTAAAAATAAGATAAGTTGGAAAGAGTCATATTGGTACTTGTCGTTGGTAGGTCCCTTTTATGCTCTTTTTTCTTCATTTGAAATTTTAGTAGTTAGACGTTTAGTAAAATAAGTCCGAACGCAACAACTCTTTGTGTGATTCATTAATTGTTCTTTTGGGTGTCATTTGTGTGTGAAATTGTATGTTTGTAAACGCAAACACGACACAGGAAATAATCCTAGAATATAGGGGCAATTTATTTTTATTAAAAATAATTAAATGTCGATTGTAGGAAGAAGGAAGGCGATCATAGAAAAGATGGATTAATTGTGAGAGTGAGAGCATCAAAGAAGATTTTTGGTGGGAGTGTGTTTGGCAGGGAGAATGAAATAAAAGAACATTGGCGACCTGAGATGTTTTAGGATAAGGCCGAAAAAATAATGACAAAAATTATTAGAAACTAACTTCTGCCCGCGACTTCGTACGCGAAATCACGTTTTCTTCCGTTCCCGTAGGATTTTTAGGATTTTTTCTGTCATAAAAACCTTCTCCTAGCGATAACAAACACAACAAAAAAAAAATCAGCCAAATCGGTCTAACCTTTCTCAAGTTATGGCGTGACAACGGGAAACTGGTTTCATTTTTATATATTTATGTATATATACTAGCGGACCCAACAGACGTTGTCCTGCATATCCACTTGAATGTATAAACAAAAATTCATGCAAATTAGTTCAGCCGTTTAGGATAACTAACCTATTAACAACTGCAGCGCCATCTGCCGGGCTGATTTGTGAATCTAAACCATTCCCTTGAACACACACAAAAAATTTCATCAAAATCGGTCCAGTCGTTTGAGAGAAGTTCAGTGACATACACACTCACAGAAGAATTATATATATAAAGAAGATAGATAAGGTCGTCGAAACAAAGGTGGATGGAATGTCACTTGGAAATGGTTGAAGCTCTAAAATGTCAGTGGTGTATTTATGTGTGCGTATACATCCAACACAGTAATGTTTTAAGTGTAATGACAGGCCATGTCACACGACAGATAGTGTCCTTCATGTGACTATGTCCGCCTCTTTTTCAACGTCCTTGATTAGAAATTGGATTTTTGATTCCTTTATCTTTCTGAAATCGCATAGTGACTATATATTTGTGCATTTTAAATTAAGATTAAAGATAAAAATAATATCGTCGTTATCATGTGTTTGATTTTATATCAATCGGAAATGGGGCTTATGTCTTTTTTTAATTTACCGATGATGCTATCTGTTGATTTTATTTTGGCATTTGCTAATATTTGCAATGCAACCTCAAAATGGTGATGAACTTTTTTTTGAATGGATTGTCATCCAGTGACTTCTCTCGCCTTGGATAAGGTGGCAGGGAGTACTGGACTTTTACTGAGGCTTTAGTACGAAATTGATTACCGTTTGAAGTATTCGAAACGATTACGCGTTAGGCTTTCTGAAATTTCTTTATTGAAACAAAGAGTTTTCTTTTTCTTGTATAGAAGCACTATTTCTATGGATTGTCAGTATGCGTATGTGAGCACCATGTTAGACTATAAGATTTTTTTTATTTTTATTTTAGTAAGTAATTAGTGTAATGCGTCAAGCGTCTCTTTGCATTGTTCTTGCATATGCGTACAGTATTGAAATATGTACTTATCAGAGACATTGTAGAACATACTTTTTTAAAAAGAGTAACGAATGGAGTTTCTTGCTCGTTGTTCTCCATTCGAATCTACATTTTAGAATGAGCACCTAGCTTCACCTAGCTTCACTGACGGACTGACTGACAGACTATTATTTATTTTGTATTTGTTGACGTTTCGAAAGTACCAAATTATAGTTTAATTGAAATAAATGCTTTGACTTTGAATTTGAACAGCACCAATGTACCAACCAATCAGAGCGCCGTACGCGTACTCGTTACGATTACTTTAAACGTAAAACAAACTTGTACTAAGGCCTGTGAATAGAACCCCCCCCCCCCCTCCCCATTCCAAATCCTGCTTCAAGCTGAAGTCCCTGAAACCCGCTTAGTTGCCCGGAGCTATAGGTAAGATTGGACGCATATGATAACATTTAGAATGACTAGTCGTAAAAAATTTTATTAGGCCTCATTATGGTGTTCTATCTCCAGCAGTGGATGTGTTTTATAACCACCGTAAACTAGCCCGCTACCATTGAGTACTGTAACACCCTGTAAGTACTTAAAAAGGATTAAAAAAAACTTAATTGCATACAATTGACTAATTGACTGGATATGCAAATATTTTTTTTAAGGGGCGAAAACCATCTAATCGTTACTCCCGCCTGGGTGAGGCGGGAGGGAGTGTCAGACTCTTACTGACTAAAAATCACCCCGTTTCTTCTCCTGCACTTCGAGCCGGAGCCCCGGTAACCTGTTAGGTTCTCCGCGGCTCTGATGTTCTCGGCGACTCTGAAAGGATATGCAAAGATAGTAGACTATCTTTCAATCAAATGACAACGAATGAGTCAATTGCTATTGCATTTTTATCTACATATTAAGATATTGGAGTTATAAAACGTGCGTGATATTTGATTACTCAACAGTTCCTTCTGTATCTTATTTGGGCGCAGTCAGTGTAATGATGGCTCATAAATTATTTTGTTTTATTTTGATTATTGTTTATTGGTTTGGCAGGTGAGACTTAAACTATTTATTAGTTCGGTCCTTAAGATGTTGTATTATGTTACACATGTCAATTACATGCACCAAAGCATGCTTTTGTTGAGCACTTGTTACTTATGCCCGAATACTGAAACGTTACTCAATTTTAAGTCACGCTTAAGTATAGTTCTGTCTCTACAAATTCTTTGTAAAATGACAGAGATGGCACGATATTTAAGCACAACTTAAAATTGAGTAACGTTTCAGTATTCCGGCATTAGTGTATCGGAATATTACTCAACCGCTTCTCACCCGGAGAAGGTTTGAGCATTAATCACTACGCTTGCTCAATGCGGGTTGGTGATTTATTGAGAATTCTACATGATTTATAATTAGAAATTATAAGCCTAGGTTTCCTTACGATGTTTTCCTTCACCGTCTGTCAGTAGTGTCTGAATAATTTTAGAAAGTACATTATAACTCGGAAAAAGTCACATTGGTACCTGCAGTTGGTAGGTTTCGTACCCTCTTGCATGAGAAGTGGGCGTCTTAAACCTCCGGGCCACCACGACATCATCAACAAAATGTATACAGCTCTATAAAGAGTAACTCACTTGGTGTCAACCTGTTGCCAAGAATAATTTAACAAAGGAGTTCACTTTTCTGTAATCATACAACTTTATGATCTTACGTTCTGTCTGATAGACAGCAAAGAGTATAATAAGTATAGGGGTTATAGACAGTTTAGTTGACGTTTTAAGAATGGTTGTATGTTATTTTGTTACTTTAATTTTGTTTCGTTTTCAGCCCTGAAGCCAGTCCAGTGTCTTCAAGGAAGAAACTGGTGATAGATCATGATGGTGGTGCTGATGATGCCTTCGCAGTTACTTTGAGCTTGCTCAATGAGAAGTATTTTGATGGGTACGAAGTCCATTTTTATAGAACAGAATTCTAATTATCAGACTACTCCCATATTCGTAATATTTAATATTATATTATTATATCATGTTTCAGTCCAGAACTAGTGGCCTTAACAACAACATTCGGAAATGTGAACCTCACGCAAGCAATTATCAACAGCCATCGGTTTCTGGCACTCTGTGATAGGGAAGATGTAAGTACTGATATCAATAAGATAAGATTAATGCCACCTATAAACGAGATTTCACCTTAAACAGAGCAATCTGATATGTATATTTGATCTTCTCTAAACATACCTATCTAAAATCCATCTGTCTATATATATTTTTGTCATAATCACACTAGTTGAGTTGGCTAATCAAATACCCTTTGTGTAATTAGGATAGAAATCGTTATCTATGTCGATGATGACGATGTATGTCGTATAGTTCAGGGAGATGGAAGGCTGGTAGAATTAAAAAATGGTATTCTACAAACAGACCAGTGTTTACTGAATATATCTTTATTATTTAGAGGAGTTATCCTTTGGGTAAACTGAAAAAATGGATACAGTTTCATTTTTTTAATATTTTTATATTACAGATACCAATATACTCAGGTGCTCATAAAGCTTTTGTATCGGACATGGTATCTGATAACTTTTATGGAATGGACGGGTTAGGAGACACTGGCTATGAAGCTCCATCGACAATAGAAATCGAAAAGAATCCAGCTGCCGTGGCTCTCATAGAACTCTCAGAGTTATATGAAGGTATTTCACATTTTGTGGTCCTTGTATTTACTGTATTGGTTGAATAATTTCAATATGCATCTGCACTGAAATACTTATTAACTATTTTATCTGATAATTTACTTAATTGTTTTATGTAATTATTTTAGGCGAACTGATAGTAGTAGCTATTGGTCCAGTCACCAACATAGCATTGGCTGCACGACTGGATCCTGACTTCATAGGCCGGCTGTCGCAGTTATACGTGGGTGCAGGCCATGTTCACAGTAAGTACAGTTTACTTTACGTTTCTAGATCAGAAAAGAAGATTAAAGATATTTTACTGGCTAGTGCAGCGCAGAATATCTACTTACAACATGGCTAGACAGGCTATAATGTATATAGGTCTCAGGAAGCTGCTGGATGTAAGATGCTTCTTACTGACTGATCTGGAAGCTATTGTAGGAGGCCTCTGGCCCGGAGTGAATATGATGTGGCTGATGTAGCGATGATAATGATGTATTGTTAGGAAACTGTTATATATTCACTACAAGCCAAATAACAAAAAAATTATAATGGCTTTAAAATAAAATTCTTATGGAAAACGAGATTTTGCATTTTATTTTATAGGTGAAACTCATTCTGAACCCGAATTCAATGCTGCCATGGATCCTGAAGCGTACTACATAATGGCAGACAGTGCTGCAGCTGACAAAGTGACAGTTGTACCATTTTCTCAAGTTTACAACACGCTGAATGTCTCTAGTGTAAGTTTTCATGATGTTTTCTTCTTCAATCTTTTTTTTATGGCATAAGCCGGTAAACGAGCAGACGGATCACCTGATGGTAAGCAATCGGCGTCGCCCATGGATGCCTGGAACACCAGAGGCGTTACAAGTGCGTAACCGGCTTTTTGGGGATTAGGAGTTTGAGGATCGTTGGGGATTCAGGAATTAGGGAGATTTGGGAAGGGGAGGGTAATTGGGCCTCCGGTAACCTCATTCACACGATGAAAAACAACGCAAGCGTTGCTTCACGTCGGTTTTCTGTGAGGTCGGGTCGGGTATCACTCCGGTCGAGCCGGCTCATTTGTGCCGAAGCATGGCTCTCCCACACTGATCTTAAAGGTATCCGATCAATAAACTTGGGCCCATGGCATTGATTTATTCATAATACAGATTAAACGACTGACACCATATACTATTAGCGTACAATTATGAATACTTAAAAACATACAAATTATAATTATGTTTAACCAAAAACTATAATGAGCCACCGCGAGGTTGACAGCAAGTATCGTTAAATTTTTGATAGCATAACTGCAATCTTCACGGAACACAACGCAAGCGTCGTTTCTCGTCAGTTTTCTCTGAGGCTGTGGTATCACTCCGTTCGAGCCGGTTTGTTTGTGCCGAAGCATGGCTCTCACACACTAAAACTTAAATAAAATCCTCGTACGTTAATTGAACGCGTACTCTGTTATCATCCTTTTAAATGAGTACCTATGTACATTGATGTTATTGTATGTTACAGGACTGGCGTGAAAATGTTTTGGGAAAAATTGAGACACCTATCATGGAAGCTCTGAACATGTTTGAACGAATATCGTTTTCCAAAGAAAGCTCGTGGACCCAACTAGACCCGGCTGTGGCGTCCATTGCACTACACAATGAAATCGTCGATGAGTTCAAATATTCAAATAACAGCATTATTTTGCAAGGTAAACTATAATTTACGTGATCTTAAGTTTGTATACCTACTTATAATTTCATCCTTTATGTCTTTTAAAAAAGTTTTAATCTAATTTTGACACATTGACATAATAGGGATGATGACAGGGTATGAAAATTAAAAATCTAATTAGTCCGTCAGTTAGGTAATGAAAACATATAAGACACGTATTTTTTTATTTTATCGTATAATAAAACAATACTTAGATATAACGAATCAAAGTTTAGGAGTGGGGGCTAAAACGTCATTTCTACGTATACAATGTACATAAAAGTGACGTCACGCAACATTTCAAATGAAAATATCGTCGAAAGTATTCGTTTCTGTAAGAAAATAAAAAATACGTGTCTAATTTAAAATAATCTACCAGACAGATATTAAAATAAAAATAATAACAAAAATTGGTGTATTAATAAATACCAAGATCCTCTAAAATAAATAAATAGAAATCTACCTATTATTTAGCTTGCCCAGTTTGTTCGTTTGATTTTTGAGTTTTTAGTATGTTTTTCTTTTCATATTTCAGGTGAAAGTCGTGGTATCAACACAAATGACTTCTCCTCATCAGAACTTAATACAAGATTAGTTTACAAAGCGAATATTGAACACTATCAACAGTTCCTATTAGACGTGTACTCAGCTGAATTGAATCCCTAATTTTGAGTGAATAAGGTTGAAATTAACGCAAATGCAGTGATAAGGAGTCCACGTTGTGAAAAATTTGAAGTAATTTTTTTGTGTTTGTGCGTGTGTTAGTGTGATTTATTGAACAATATGTACTTATAATTAAGTAATAATATATTTATTTATTGACTGAATGAGATTTATTGTATCTGTCCCTTATTTATTGTACTGTGCAAAAACAAAAGCATTATGATGAAGAGAGAGAATATGTGTCCGTCAACCGTAATTCGTCAACTCGATTGTCTCCTATTCCATAAAAATATAGGGGTGAACAGTCATATCAAGTTTTTCAATCTCTTAACCTTTTATTTATCTGCCGGCAAGTGAGACACAATAGAAAACACATTGTGTCCCGCGTATATCTACGTCCTCGGCGTACCAGGAGTTAATCGCGTCCTAACTTCCTTTAGATAACATAATACTCATCGGAATCTGATTTGATATTAATTTGGTTATCAATGCAGATTTTATCAGATGTTTTAATAATAAAGCATGTCATAGTCAAAGTCCAAGCACTTCCTTCGACAAACTATGTACTTTGTACTTTTGATAAAGGTGTCATGTGATTATAGAATTTTGCATTACATTTAAACATAACATCACGCCTTTTTACCCCCGAAGGGGTAGAGGTGCACATGCCCACTTTTCACTATTTATGTTATGAGTCCCATGTAATAGGAGGTGAGCCTATTACCATATACCGGGCACATTTCCAAGTTCTGTGCTATTACAGAGGTTTTTTGAACAACCTTCATGAAATGCACTGATACTTGCATTATTCTTCTAAGGAAATATTACTTCATACTCTTTACCCTCAGTGACTATAAATCATGTTGGTAGCAAAAAAACTGATCGTCTACTTTGGTATCTCACTGGTGGCGTTATAAGTTGTGGTGGCGATTGATTAATTATTTATTACAAAGAGTGAGTATTTGAATAAGATTAAGGTTAGACGATCCTGAAATTGCTGTGTTCATGTGTGTCAAAGTCAATGCGATATAACTAGTTTACTACTGTAACCATTGTCATGATAATGAATTTGATCATCTGTCACACTCAAGGTCTTAGATGCCATCATCAGAAATGATATGTACAGTCTGCACAATTACCGTATCATCATCAACAGCTTATAAGTGCCACTGCGGACCAACGGCACGGAGCAGTTTGAGCATTAATCACCAAGCTTGCTCAATGCGGGTTGGCGATTTCAAAATTATGATTAAACAATATAAGCCTAGGTTTATTCAAGTTGACCTTCACCGTTTGTCAGTGGTGTCTAAATAATCTTAGAATGAATACATAACCCAGAAAAAGTTACATTGGTACTTGCCCTTTGCTTTTTATTAGATAAATTGCTCTTTATTTATTTCCTCTTTTTAAATTTTCGACTAGATACAGCATGTTCGAATTGCATACAATGTTTATAATAGGTTTTATATAATAACTGCTGAGTGTGGAAAATAGTTGTGGTAAAATGAAAGTTAATTTTGACGTTTAGCTGTAGATCTAAGAGAATATTTTGACACCCAGGTGTCATCTACTATATAAAAATAAGTCGGGTTTTCCTTCCTGACGCTATAACTCCAGAACGCACGAACCGATTTCCACGGTTTTGCATTCGTTGGAAAGGTTCGGGCTCCGTGAGGTTTAGAGCAAAGAAAATTTACGAAAAAAAAATTAATGATATGTTACATAAACCGAAGCCGTGGCGAAACGGAGTTCGCCGGGTTTGCTAGTTAGATATGAAATTGTATGTTTGTCAACGCACACACCCACCCACTATACGGTAAAGGTCCTAGAGTGGGGTAACTATTTTTTTATTAAGAAAACATTAATGTCGATGGTAGCAAGGAAGAAAATGGTCAGAGAAAAGATAGAAAGATAGTGAAAGTGAGGATATCAAAGAAGATCTTTGATGGGAGTGCGTTGGGCAGAATGAAAGAAAAGAACATTATTTTTGACCCTTGATATCTGATAGATAAGGATAGAAAGATAATAATAATAACAAATACATAAAGTAGTTATACACTGCTACTATATTGACTACCTCGTTGGCCGAGTAATCGCAAGGGCAAGGGATCTCGGGTTCGATTCGCGGATCGGGCAAAGTATTACTGGATTTTTTAAAAATTGTCATTTGTAGCGCGGGGTTTGGAACTGTGCCCGGTATATAGCAATAGGCTCACCCCCTATTACATGGGACTCATAACATAAATAGTGAAAAGTGGGTATTACTTTTGTGTGCATCTCTGCCTATCCCTTCGGGAATAAAAGGCGTGATGTTATGTTATATTTATATTTGTGCATTGCAAATGAAGGTAAAAGATAAAACGTTGTCTTTTTCAATTTGTCTATTATTTGATATCACTCGGAAATGGGGGCTGGGTCAGATTTTTTTTTAAATTTCCAATGATACTGTCTATTACTTTTATTTTTTTCGCAAATAGGTATATGCATGTCTGGTGTTAGCCTAACCAATCGTAATAATAATGCAACGAAAAAATTTAATCTGTCAAACACCAAGCGGTCACCGGTGACCGCGACCTATTGTTCTTTAATTGTGTCTATAAAACCGGTATTCGACGAGTTAAGGAGCTGGTCATTCCATAAAATATTCGTGTTAGTACAGATTATCAAAATAAAAATGGTTTTATTTGTGATTGCAATCTCAAAATGGGGACTACTTTTTTTGAGGTCATCCAATGACTTCGTCCACCTTAGTTGAGGCAACAGGGAGTCTCAGACACTTACTGACTAAGAATCATCCCATTCCTACTTACCTGTTGACTTGTCCGCAGCTCCCGGTTAGATAGGGTGAATATTGGCATGTGCACACGCACTACAATATTACTGTGTATTATATTATTTATATTTTGTTTTTTTTTTTTGTATATTTAATTTTCTTTATATCAAAAACTTATTGCATTTGTTTCGTATTATATGTACATTATTGTGTTATATTTTGATGATTTTTATTATGTATTTATGTAAGTATCTGTATCTTTATTTTTCATAATCTTTGTTTGTGTGCCATTTGCCAAATAAATGCTTTTTTCTTTCTTTTCTTTCTTTCTTTCTTTCAATATAATAACTTTTAGAAAAACTGTTATTTTTTTAGGACAAGCCCGCCACAACTTCCCAAAACCGCTGCAACTCCTGTAAGTCAGGATCTACAGTAGATACAACCATGAAAACACCGGAACACTGAAGTCCGGCGCGTCTTAGTGACATGAATAACTGTCTTGGTTCCCGTAACGAAGTGAATCAGAAGATATTATAAGAGGAGAAGAAAAAAAATGATAGTTTCCACTTCCCTCGGTGAATTACTGCAGGAGACAGAGTGAATTATTATCTCTCTCCAACAGTGAATCTTTTTATAACCACCTTAAAATAGCCTGTTACCATTGATTATTATAACACCCTGTGAGTTTGTTCATATTGTATTTAAAAAAAACCTTGATGATAGCATACAATGGACGCGATATGCAAAAAAAGTAGAACTCTTGCATTAAATTAAAGTGATAGGAAAATGTTTGGTATTATTAGAACTAATTGACATTGAATTTTTCTATATATTGAGATATATTTTTTATAAAATATGCGTGATATTTGATTACCCACCAGTTCCTTCCGGATCTTATTGGGGCGCAGTCAGTGTAATGATGGCTCATAAATTATTTTGTTTTGTTCTGATTACCGTTTACTGGTTTGCCAGGTGAGATTTAACTTATTTATTAATTTGATCCTTAAGTTGTTTTATACTGTAACACATCATCACGCACCGAAGCATGCTTCAATTGGGATGATGACAGGGTATGAAAATTAAAAATATAATTAGTCCGTAAGTTAGGTAATGAAAAAATATTAGACACGTCTTTTTCTATTTTGTCGTATAATAAAACAATACTTAGATAAAACGCATCAAAGTTTAGGAGTGGGGGCTAAAACGTCATTTCTACGTACACGATGTACGTACAAGTGACGTCACGCGACATTTCAAATCAATATATCGTCGAAAGTATTCGTTTCTGTAAGAAAATAAAAAATACGTGTCTAATGATTTAAAATAATCTACCAGACGGACATTGTGACTAAATAACGAGTGTGTCGGAATGTTGTTCAAATTTAGCATGCTCATTTCAGGCGTGTTTGATAATTGACAGCAGTTGACTTTTGAACATTTTTGAGCATGCTCAATACAACGTTTTAACATAGATTTTATTTTAGAGCATCTTATACTATTATATAAAGCAGAAGAGTTTGTTTTTTTGTTACTGTAATTTTGTTTCATTTTAGCTCTGAAGCCAGTCCAGTGTCTGCAAGGAAGAAGCTTGTGATAGATCATGATGGTGGAGCTGATGATGCCTTCGCAATTACACTGAGCTTGCTCTACGAGAAGTATTTTAATGGGTAAGAAGTCCATTTTATAGAACAGACTTCTTATAATCGTTTCTTTTAATCCAGATTTCTCCCGAATTCGAAATATTGAATAATACTTCTCATAATACCGTTATTTCATATTACTAGCGACCCGTCCCGGCTTCACATGGGTGCAATATGCGAGTATTATACATATAATCTCATATTAAACTCATAGAAAACCGACATGAAGCAACGCTTGCGTTGTGTTTCGTCGTGTGAGTGAGGTTACCGGAGGCCCAATTACCCTCCCCTTCCCCAATCTGCCAATCCCTGAATCCCAAACGATCCTCAAAATCCTTATCCCCAAAAGGCCGGTAACACACTTGTAACACCTCTGGTGTTCCGGGTGTCCATGGACGACGGCGATTGCTTACCATCAGGTGATCCGTCGGCTCGTTTACATATGCCATAAAAAAATAAACCTTCCTTAAGAATCACTCTATGTATTTAAAAACCACATCAAAATATGTCGCGTAGTTTTAAACATCTAAGCATAGATAAGGACAGACAGACGTTGGATAGCGACTTTGTTTTATACTATGCAGTGATATTTTATTTCAGTCCAGAACTGGTTGCCTTGACAACAACATTCGGAAATGTGAACCTCACGCAAGCAATTATCAACAGCCATCGGTTTCTGGCACTCTGTGATAGGGAAGATGTAAGTACTGATAACAATAAGATAAGATTAATGCCACCTATGAACGGGATTTCACCTTTAACTGATTAATATATTTGATCATCTCTAAACATATGTACGTATCTAAAATCTGTCTATCTTTATTTAAAGATAGTCAAATTTTAGATAACTAATTATCTAGTTAGGATAATTAGGTAGGAAATATGGGGGCTACCTGCCAATTTTGTAGTTTTGAATGGGCTCTTTCTGATTTCCATTTTGCATCTGCGCCGCACCATTTTTCCAAGATGGCGGTGCGAACACACTCAAATCTACAAAACAGAAATCGTTGATGATGTTGAAGATAACGATGTACATCGTACAGTTTAGAGAGATAGTCGGTCGGTCGGAAGGTTGATTGAAATAAAAAATGGTATTCTAATAATAGACTAGTGTTTACTATAGAGATTATTTTAAGTTACTGCGACAGATCGAAAAAAATGAATACAATTATTTTTTTTTTAATATTTATATTACAGATACCAATATACTCAGGTGCTCATAAGTCTTTTGTATCACACATGGTATCTGATCACTTTTACGGAATGGACGGGTTAGGAGACAATGGCTATGAAGCTCCATCGACAATAAAAATCGAAAAGAATCCAGCTGCCGTGGCTCTCATAGAACTTTCAAAGAAATACGAAGGTATTTTGTATTTTGTGGTTTTTCTATTTAATTGAATTGTAATTTTATACTATTTTGATATTCTTTTATGGCATCGCATGCACCTTATATTATTACTTAATTATTTTTTGTACCTAATTGTTTTAGGAGAACTGATAGTAGTAGCTATTGGTCCACTCACTAACATAGCATTGGCTGTTCGACTGGATCCCGACTTCATAGGTCGGCTGTCGCACTTATACGTGGGCGCAGGCCATGTTTACAGTAAGTACAATTTACTTGTGGTGTCGTGGTGGCCCGTAGGCTTAAGATGCTCACGTCACATGCAAGAGGATTCGAAATCTTCGAACGGCAAGTACCAATGTGACTCTTTCCGAGTTATATGTACTTTCTAAGTATGATTATTTAGACACCACTGACAAACGGTCAAGGCAAAAATCGTGTGGAAATCGAAACTTATAATTTGAACCAACCTGTATTGAGCAAGCGTGGTGATGAATGCTCAGAAAAGAAGAATAGAGATCTTTTACTGGCAAGGATAGTACAAGATGTCCACTTACAACAAGGCTAGACAGGCTTTCATGTATGTACAAAGGTCGCAGGTACTTGCTGGATGCAGGATGTTTCTTACTGACCGATCTGGAAGCTATTGTAGAAGGCCTCTGGCCCGCAGTGAACGTGTTGTGGCTGATATGACAATGAAGATGATGATTAATCATTTGATAAACATTATTTATTAATTACACGCCAAATGATAAAAAATCAGGCCTGCGGACGACGAGCACGGGTGATTCGCCGCCTGACCAAAACCGGGCCTTTTAGTCAGGGTTTTAAGTCAGTAAGAGTTTGATACTCCCTCTCGCCTCACCCGAGCAATTGCCCGGCCCATTGGATGAATTTCCATACTCAAAAAAAAACTATATAAAATAATTATATTATGTTATGTTTAAAAATAAAATGTATTTGAAAAATGAGACATTGTATTTTATTTTACAGGTGAAACTCATTCTGAACCCGAATTCAATGCTGCCATGGACCCTGAAGCGTACTACATAATGGCAGACAGTGCTACGGTTAAAAAAGTGACAGTTTTACCATTTTCTCAAGTTTACAGCACGCTAAATGTCTCTAAAGTAAGTTTTCATAATTTTTTCTTCTTCAGTCTTAATAACATCGACCATAATGCTTCGACCATTGCATTGATTTATATACAATACAGATTAAGCCAATGATACGTATTATACTGTGTCCGTATAATTATGAGTACTTATAAAACATAAAAATTATAACATATATATCCAAAACCTAAGATGAGTCCTCGCAAGGTTGACAGCTATCATCAAAATGTTGCGGCGGGAGGGATTACCATCGGCCTCGAGACGACGGTGAAGTACCTGGGACTCGTCCTCGACAGTCGGTGGAACTTCGTGGAGCATTTCCGACGTTTGGCTCCTAAGTTGTGCGCGTGTTCTCTCTAGAGGAGAGCACGTAGAGGCACGTCGGCGGGACGAAACTCCGCTGACGCGCCAGATAAGTGCGTGGCGGGAAAAGCTCCGGCGCGATCTCATGACGGAATGGCAGCAACAACTGTCGCAACCGAGGGTTGGGCTCGCTGTACGTACGTCCCCTCTTTGAGGAGTGGCTTGAGAGACGCTACGGCGTCCTCACCTACCGCCTGTCGCAGGTCCTCACCGGACATGGGAGCTTCGGGAGGTACCTGTGTCTGATAGGACGTGAGGAAACGCCCGGGTGTCATCACTGCGAGGACCGCCCTGAGGACACAGTGGAACACACGGTAGGGGAATGCCTTGCGTGGGCTGAGCACCGTCGTGGCCTCAGGGATGTGATCGGCGACAGCGACCTATTGCGTCCGGCCCTAGTCCGGGTCATGATGCGGAGCTAGGAGGACTGGGATGCCGTCTCCTCCTTTTGCGAAGCAGTCATGCTAGCAAAAGAGAAGGCGGGGCGTATGAGGCAGCGAATCGATGCCTCCTCACAACTCAGCCGTCGCGAAGGACACTCCGGGCGTCTGGAATAGCGGGCGATCTCCTGCTACCGTAAGCACGAGCCTGCGGACGGCGAGCATAGCTCGCCGCTAAGACCAAGCCCAGGCGTGCAGCGCATCGCGTTCCGCGCGTGCCTCAATGAGCCATCAGACCACCACGGATGGGGCCCAATAGGGCTGATACCGATACGGAGCCGCGGAGAACCTAACTAATTACCGGGGCTGCGGCTCGAAGTGCAGGAGTAGAAACGAGGTGGTTTTTAGTCAGTAAGAATCTGAAACTCAATGATTTTCGCCCCTTTTCATTCGTGCCGAAGCATGGCTCCCATACACTGAAACTTAAATAAAATCCACGTTTCATTATTCTTTTATCATCCTTTTAAATATGTACATTAATGTTATTGTATGTTACAGGAGTGGCGTAAAAATGTTTTGGGAAAAATTGATACACCCATCATGGAAGCTCTGAACATGTTTGAACGAGTATCGTTTTCCAAAGAAAGTTCGTGGATCGAACTTGACCCGGCTATGGCTGCCATTGCACTTCACAATAAAATCGTCGATGAGTTCAAATATTCTAATAACAGCATTATTTTACAAGGTAAACTATAATTTATACTTACAAATACGATTCAACTTGAAATTTACCTATTATTTAGGTTGCCCAGTTTATTAGTTTCATTTTTGAGTTTTAGTATGTCTTTCTTTTTGTATTTCAGGTGAAAGTCGTGGTATCAACACAAATGACTTCTCCTCATCAGAACCTAATACAAGATTAGTTTACAAAGCGAATATTGAATACTATCAAAAGTTCCTGTTAGACGTGTACTCTGCTGAATTGAATCCTTAATTTTAATTAAATAAGGTTGGAATTAAGTGTGCAGTGACGAAGAGTCAACGTTTTGAAGAATTCGAAGTGATTTTCTTATGACCTATTATTTAAAAGTGTTTGTTTGTCTTGTTACTGTAAAAATAGTGTGATGTATAGGACATTATGTACTTATAATTAAGTAATAATATATTTATTTATTGACTGAATAAACGTCGTTTTATTTATGGCCAATTTCAATAACCTATCTCTCTGTAGATTTGCTAACTAGAGATTGAATTTTGACACAAGCTCCAAAAAAATGTCTCTGGTACGCAAATCTACAGATAGAAACTGGCCATTATTTTATCCGTCTTTAGCTTGGGAGAGATAGCGTGATGTTATATTTACACACTAACATTTTATTATTACACTTATGTCTTATTTAAACATTATAAATCGGAACTCGTCCAGTGATATGATAAATCTCCTAATCAATTTCAATCATAATGGCTAGTCTGAATAACTAAACTAAACCACTCCGCAGGAGATATTATAACATACAAATTTGTGAGCAAACACAAAGGTAATCTGTGTTCCTTCACAGTCTGAACCCGAAGAGACGGGAGCCCGACTCAACCGGATAGAGATCAGGCACAGGACCAACATGTTTATGTACTTATTGAGGCATGGGAGAGCCACACCTTCGAACTTCCTGAGTCCGAGCTAATAATGGTAATTTTACTCAGGTAATACCATCATCACTTTTAAGCTGGCACGGGATTAGAACGCGCTACACAATGCCAGCAGCTAGTCACCTAACTACTAAGCCAACCCTGCAGTCGTGACGTTAGAAATCACAAGTTTGCAAGCCTAATGTCGGAATACTCAAACGCTACTCAATTTTAAGTCGTGCTTAAGTATAGTTCTGTCTCTACAAATTCTTTGTAAAATGACAGAGATGGCACGATATTTAAGCACGACTTAAAATTGAGTAACATTTCAGTATTCCGGCATAAGAGGCTTACGTAATTCCATAAGTGAAACAAGTGAATTTATTTCTGCTAATAGGCTACAAGGCAGCACTTGTACACGTCATTTTATCAAGCCAACGATGAGGCCGACATTTCCTAACTGACTACTCTGAGAAGAAATGCCGAAACCAACTCAGAGGTCCGTCTCTTTTAAAGTCCAGACAAATGTGTATAAAAGATTATGTGTGAGAACCGTGCAAGTTCTTTCTGTAGTGGCCATTTGAGGAAAGAACCACAACGGTTTGAGTGGACCAATTCACTACTCACATGGCGAAACACAACGCAAGCGTTGTTTCACGCCGGTTTTCTGTGAGGCCGTGGTTTACCAACCATGCCAACCCATTACTGCCAAAACATGGGTCTCACACCTAAACTGTGACAAAGATGCAGAAACCTGTGACAAATCACGTTATTAGTATTTTTATATAAACGTTCCTTGACTTATGACCAATTACTCTATTTATTTCTATCGAATTAGTTTCGCAATAAAAGTATTTACTCGTTATTTTGCCTGGTTGGACTCATATTTATTTAACAACTAGCTTCTGCCCACTACTTCGTACGCGTACCATCCCATTTTTTCCCGTCCCCGTTCGTGATTTTTGGAAAAAAGGAAAAAAAAATTTGGTTAAAAATTAATTCAATTATTTGACCTTCTAATAAAAATCGGTTAATATATTTATTGAATAAAAGACTTGATATTAAATATCCTACTAAAATTGTAATTATAATTAAAATAATTAAAGTGTGATCATGAAAAAAAATAATTTGTTCTATTAAAGGGGATGCTCTATTTTGTAAATTAAGATTAGATCATGTTGCCATTTCTAAAAAAAGGATATTCCTTTATAAATTTGGTATCCTATGTCGGTCTCCTGGCTCTAAGCTACCTCCCTACCATTTTCAGCCAAATCTATTCTGCCGTTCTTGAGTTATAAGTGGTATAACTAACACGACTTTCTTTTATATATATATATATATAAATAAAATTACACAATCTTTTTTTATTTTGTTGTGGGTAAAATTTTGCATTGTAGATAACTGGTTGTCCATGACATGTATGTATGTCTGTGTCTGTCCAATTTTAGCGGTCGTATTGTTCTTGTAACTTAAATAGGTGAGACAGATGATCTTCAACGCCCTGCAAGTGCACACTGCTGAGCGGGACCTTTCCTCATACGGAAAATATTTTCATATTAATCACCACGCTTACTCAAGGCGGGTTGACGATTTCAAACTAATAATTAGAAATATTAAATCTAGATTCTTTACGATGATTTCCTTCATCATATACCACTGGTATCTAAATTAATCTTAGAAACACTTAAAATAACATTACGCCTTTTATCCCCGAAGGCATGGGCAGTGCACATTAAGCCACTACAATGTAACACCCACTTTTCACTATTTATATTACGAGTCCCATGTAATAGGGGGTGAGCGTATTGCCATATACCAGGCCCAATACCAGACACCTTGCTACGACTGAGATTTTTTTTTAAACCCAATAATACTTTGCCTGATTCGGGAATCGAAACCGAGACCCCTTGCCCGGCAGTCGCACTTGCGACCTCTCGGGCAACAAGGCAGTCTTAGAAAGTACATATCTATAACTCGAAGAAACTCACATGGGTATTTGCGGGCGTTTGAACCCTCCAGGTAACCACGACATTTGACATTTTTTTTTAAGAGGCGAAAATCATCGAATGACTGCTCCCGCCTGGGCGAGGCAGGAGGGAGTGTCAGACTCTTACTGACTAAAAACCACCCCGTTCCTTCTCCTGCACGTCGAGCCGGAGCTTCGGTTACCCGTTAGTTTCTCCGCGATACGACATTTCACATTATGTTAGCTTCTACTGGGCTGGGCATGGCTGCCGCATGTCAGACGACCGGTGGGCAGATCGCACTACTTACGGCCGTTCCCAATATTCTATGTATCTCTTGTTTTGCCCTACTGGGGATAGAAAAATCTATCTATCTTTAAATTTCCCGTCTCAATAAACTTACTGGCGATAGGCAAACTAATCTATGGTTGTCATTACCTGAGGGAGGACGGATAGGTTATCTACAGATTGCTTTTACTATGAAATTGACAGTTCACGCGTCCCAATAATAACAAAGGTGCTATCTGTCAGTAGCTTTGGTTACCCCTAGTAGGCTATAGCTCTATCGCAGGATTTTGATGGATAGGAGTATAGTTATCAGTGAAGATCAGTAACATATCTTTTCTATTTCTTAAAAATACATATAGGAGTATAGTTATCAGTGAAGATCAGTTACATATCTTTTCTATTTCTTAAAAATACATCAGATTTAAACAAAAAATCATGTCGGTCTCCAGTTCAAGTAGTAGTTCAAGTGCTATTGATATTTTGGAACAAATAAGGAACTGGGGATCTGACGAGGACGATGTGCTCACCACACCACAACACGATCATATCAAGGGCGTGTTAATTACATGTATTGATATGATGATTACGAGTTTGTGTATAGATTTAGGCTAAAATGTGTCTTTGCTATCTCTAGTTAACAGTAGATAGGGTGCCTATCTGAGCCCTCCCGTGTGTTTCATTATATGCAGAGCTCCACAGAGTGCCACTAAGTTACAATAATGTTTTTAAAGCATCTTGTCATGTTTATATCACAAACATTTTGAATTAATTAACGAAACCTTATATTTTGCACTAATTTTATATTATACAATATTTTTTTAAGTTGAATATAACAAAAACTTCATGTTTGCGACTGGAATAGTGCGCGACTTGTAACGGAACGATTTGTTAAAAGATTGACATTTGACATTGTTGTTTGTTGATTTTGTTTACAATAAATTGTGATAATATAACAAAGAATTGTTTGTTATAAAAATGACCTCAGTAAGTATTACAGTTTGTGCTTTTCTAGCTTTAGATTGAAGCTATTGAAGTTTTAAAGTTCTTGATTACATGAACATACATGTGACTAATAACTCGTGTTTGGTGCACTCATTGCAGCAAAAGAATATGCTATTGACGAAAGAAGAAGTAATGCAGCTGGTACAATTGGTGGAGGCAAATCCATTGATGTTTAGCAAAGCCACAAATGCAAGCAATAATCAGCTCAAAGATGCGACTTGGAGGATTAGGTATCACAGATAGTTTCTTGTGTATTTCATTTTTGGGGTTTGGTATTGGTTATGACTAATTACTTTTCAATACTGTTTGGTTACAAAACTTTTATATGGTAGTTGTAGTGAGGACCAAAATGGAATAATACACTGAACAATATTTTTCTAGGAAAACAGAAAAGACGAGCTGATGCAGATGAAATAAGTCAATTACAGATTGAAATCAGGCAATCGCAGAATATTACTTCCAAGTCAAAAATAAAACACGACGATGAAATACATGCATTAAAGAAACGGAAACTCTAGCTAGATATACTGGAGAAGGAGAAACAACCCAATAATAATTCATGTATTTAAATAAATTAAAACAGTTTATTCTAAACCATCTTTTTTTTACACTGTGTAATTTTGCAACACATAATAATTAAAATAAATATGTAGGTAAGAATAACTGACCTATCTATATTGATACAATTATAAATTTCTCTAATTTAGTCTTCTTAGCCTAAATCTATACACAAACTCGTAATCGTCATATCAATACATGTAATTAACACGCCCTTGATATGATCGTGTTGTGGTGTGGTGAGCACATCGTCCTCGTCAGATCCCCAGTTCCTTATTTGTTCCAAAATATCAATAGCACTTGAACTTGAGACCGACATGATTTTTTGTATAAATCTGATGTATTTTTAAGAAATAGAAAAGATATGTTACTGATCTTCACTGATAACTATACTCCTATCCATCAAAATCCTGCGATAGAGCTATAGCCTACTAGGGATAACCAAAGCTACTGACAGATAGCACCTTTGTTATTATTGGGACGCGTGAACTGTCAATTTCATAGTAAAAGCAATCTGTAGATAACCTATCCGTCCTCCCTCAGGTAATGACAACCATAGATTAGTTTGCCTATCGCCAGTAAGATTATTGAGACGGCAAATTTAAAGATAGATAGATTTTTCTATCCCCAGTAGGGCAAAACAAGGGATAGATAGAATATTGGGAACGGCCGTTAGTTATTGGGACGACATCGAAAGATAGATAGATTTTAACTGACTATCGAGGATAGCTATCTATCTTTACCTATGGATTGAATATTGGGAACGGCCGTTAGTGGAGGCCACTCAACCTCAGTAGACGTCGCGGTAGGCCCAGAAGGAGATGGTGGGATGAACTTGACGCCTGTGAAAAGGATTGGCCACAGAAAGCTTTAAGAAGAGACGAGTGGAAGGAGGGTAGGGAGGCCTTTGCCCTGCAATGGGACGACCATGGCTGAAAATAAAAATTAAATTAAATTTATATTTCCGAAGCTTCGTATGAATTTTAATTATTTATTTATCAAGATGAAGATGGAAAAATATTTAGCTCGAGGCTAAAACAAACAGACAATGATTTTTATCTATATTTTAAGATACATGTTTTTATAAAACATCAGTGATGTAAGATTTTATACCAGTTATTCATAATGGCGCATAAAATATTGTGTTTTGTTCTATTTGTCGTTAATTTGTTTAGAAGGTGAGATTCACATTTTTGTTTTTAATATTATTGTTTTCCCTGAATAACTAAGTTTGTTTTTAAACTAATTTCAATAGGGTAGATGCCTAATTATTATTTTAATGTTCCTCTGGTAGATTATTTTAAATCATTAGACACGTATTTTTTATTTTCTTACAGAAACTTTTACTTTCGACGATATATTGACTTGAAATGTCGCGTGACGTCACTTCTATGTACATACATTTTATACGTAGAAATGACATTTTAGACCCCACTCCTAAACTTTGATTCGTTTTATAAGTATTGTTTTATTATACGACTTAATAAAAAATTACGTGTCTAATATTTTTTTATTACCTAACTTACCGACTAATTAGATTTCATACCCTGTCATCATCCCAATTGCAATTTCTATTGAAAGTTATATTTTATTTTATTTATTTAACAAAAGTACAATTTTAGGATTAACATGTTGTTCTTATAATTATAGATCCTCGCCAAACAACGTTTAACGGCGAGAAGCGCTCATTTCTTATTCTTACTAGCTAATTAAGTACTAAGTAATTAAGTTCAAATTGACACTTACAGAATAGCCTCATTTTATTTTAGACTGGAACCATGTAATCTCTTACGAACGAACCAGAGAATGTGTGTCCTTCTATGTATAAAAACTATCGTGCGATATATGAAATCAACGATTATTAAAAAAAGGCGCGGTTACGGCATTCAGTTGGTTGCGCGTCATTGCCACGCCCCGTACAGCTGTTCACTTCTCATGAATAAGAGTCCCGTTATAACTTGAAATTAGTAGAGCTTTTCTCACTTGCTTTACGTGAGTAAGCCGTTCATTTCCATTACGATAGATGTGCTGTTTAATTATTAATTTAGATGAGAAAGGAGTTAGTGACGTCAGATGTGATAACGTATACTATGTATGAAAGAAGATAATTTATTCCGCCATCGCTACATCTCAAAGTTGAATTACCTTTAAGTGTGGGAGAGCTATGCTTCGGCATGAACGGACCGACTCGACCGAAATAATACCACGGCCTCACAGAAAACCGACGTGAAACAACGCTTGCGTTGTGTTTCGTCGTGTGACTGAGGTTACCGGAGTCCCAATTACCTCCCCAGTCTCTCCAATTCCCAAATCCCCCACAATTCTCAAATTCCCAATTCCCAAAAGGATGGTAACGTACTTGAATGCTTCTGGTGTTTCAGGTGTCCGTGGGCGGCGCCGATTGCTTACGATCAGGCGATCTTATAAAAAAAAAAATTTTAAATCCTTTATTCCTTAAATATAACAACATAACATGACGCCTTTTATCCCTGAAGGGGTAAGCAGAGGTGCACATTACGGCACTTAATACCATGTGCAATGTAACAACCACTTTTCACTATTTATGTTATGAATCCCATGTAATAGGGGTGTAATGGTGAGTCTATTGCCATACACCGGGCACAATTTGAAACTCCGTGCAACTACTGAGATTTTTTTTTAAAACTCTGTTATTTTTGGCCCGACCCGGGAATCGAAACCGATACCCCTTACCCGGCAGTCACACTTACGACCACTTGGCCAACGAGGCAGTCTATTCATTTAATTTACCTAAATAGAGATAGGGAAACATTTAGCTCAATGCTAAAACAAACAGACGTGGAATTTTTATCTATATATTATTAAGATTCATGGTTTTATAAAACATGAGTGACGTTAGATTATATACCAGTTGTGTTACCTATGTTGTTTGGATACAGTTCATGTAATTATGGCTAGTAAAATATTGTGTTTTATGCTATTTACTGTTTGTTGGATTAACAGGTAATGTACACAATTTTGTTATTGTAAAGATTATCTTACTTACATAATAAAAAGGTTTATTTTTTTTTGTTTTTTCTAAATGAAAACTTTTTGGTACTTTTAAATAGGTATGTTATTTTTTAAGTTTAATAATTAGGGTACTAGCTTTCTATGTGCTTTCTATGTACAGATAAACATAAGATTATGTCGTTTATCCGCAAAGGTACACCTTTGCGGATCTGCCTACAGGCAGAGGTGCACATTATGGCACTTAATGCCACTGTACAATGTATCCACTATTGTTGTCTTCTGCACAGATAAAATATATGTTATTAGTGTCTAGGTACTATCCATCTAGGTATTTTTGTAAAAAGGAAATGCACTCAAGAACATTGAAAACTAAAGATAACATACTATTGCGGTAGAAAAAACGATAATCAATAAAAAATACAAAATACGTGAACCAATATTACGTTTAATTAATAATAATATCATAATGTTTGTGCACGATACACTTTCCCTATTTTAATGTTTTGCACAATATAGCTTCAAATGAATTAGTAGTTTGTTGTTCAATGTATCGAATCATTTACCGATAACAATGCCAGCGAACAGGTACTAAATACTTTCATAACAATATACAGTGTCTAAAAATACTTTAAGAAAATAAATGAGGTCTCAATAAAATCTACCAAGACATCGTATAATATGTCGATAAGACTATAAATAGAAAAATAAATTATAGAAGTAAAAGGTAAATAACACAAAGACCTCTGCGTACATTAATTGTCAAGCACAATTTACTATTTGCTTCTAAAAATAAATTTTATTGATAGATTTAAAATTCTATTAAGGATACCTAAATTAAATAATTGCCCAACCCAACTATGTAAATGTTATATTTGCATATGTAAAGAAGCATTAGATACTATACGACCTAATCTTATTTTTTTTTACTTCCTGAAACATTATTATTCATTCTACCTCGAACACAGGCGCAAAATCGCAAGCCTTTCGGTCTTCTATCGGATACATTTCGGTGAGTGTGCGTGGAAATTGCACAAACTTATTCCCCCTAGTCCATTTCACCACCGTACCACCAGACGAACGGCGGGACGCCACCCTTATATGGTGGACATTCCACCCATTCGAACGAAGCGTTTCGCGTCAAGCTTCCTCATGCGAACCGCTAAGGAATGGAATTCCTTGCCAGAGGCTGTGTTTCCCGTCAAATATGACTTGGGTGTCTTCAAGTCCCGAGTGAACAGGTGGCTCATAGGTAGGCGTGCTCCATCGTCGGCCACATCATCGCTTACCATCAGGCGAGATGGTGGTCAAACGTCGACCTATAAAGTATATAAAAAAAAACCTTTAGAAGAAGGCTTTTGTTCTGTGGTCTTGTGGTTGTGTCTGTGATGTACTCCAGTTGTTAATTGTGTAATTATGTTTTCAGTCCTGAAGCCAGTCCACTATGTTCAAAGAAAAAGCTGGTCATAGATCAAGATGGTGGAGCCGATGATGCTTTTGCCATAACAATCAGCTTGCTCAATGAGAAATATTTTAAAGGGTAAGACAATACTATTTTTTAATAGTAGATATATTTATATTCTTGTGTTTTTATTTACTTTTATCACTATGAATAAGAATCATCTATGAAATCATAAAGTTTATTAGATACTAGCTACTTCCGCGCAGTTTCACACGCTCTGCTCGGCTCCTATTGGTCGTAGCGTGATGTTTTATAGCCTATACTCATCCTCGATGAATGCGCTATCCAATACAAAAAGAATTAGTCAAATCAGACTTGTAGTTACGGAGATTAGCGCGTTTAAACAAAGAAACAAAAAAGCAAACTCTTCCGCTTTATACCTCTATAATAGTATAAGATATGGCAAAATAATTCGGTCTATTTCGATCCAGTCATTTTCGAGTTCTACGCCTAGCGACACAGGCATATTATGACTCACTTTTATTTATATAGACGGAGATAAAGGTTGCCGACCGAGTTCGACCTTGAAATAATTTAACGGCTTATATTTAACTTATCATCTGATTTAGTAACATAATATAGCAGGCAAAAATTCTAAATGACCACGAGAATTCAAGCCACATCTTAATTTAAAACTACGTCCAAAATTCATTCATCTTGGTTTTCTATTAAACCAAATGATTTTCAATTGAAATAGTTAATGACCACAAAAATTAAAATCGCTGTTTAATTTGAAAAAGACTAAGGCTACGGAGCCGAGCTCCACGATGCTCCTACTCCTGACCAGAGGATTCGAAGTAACCTAAAGAACCGGTAGCTATAGTTGCGATTTTAGACTATCCGTCTACCATGTTGGGATCTTTAAGGAGTGGCTTGAGAGACGCTACGGCGTCCTCATCTACCGCCTGACGCAGGCCCTCACCGGACATGGAAGTTTCGGGAAGTACCTGTATCTGATGGGGCGGGTGGAACCAGGCGTTTCATCATAGCGAGGACCGCCCTGAGGACACGGTGGAACACACAGTAGCGGAATGCCGTGGGCTGAGCACCGCTGTGCCCTCAGGGACGTGATCGACGATGGCAACCTCTCGCGTCCGGCCCTAGTGCGGGTCATCACCGCCTCACCCAGGCGGGAGAAGTCATTCGATGATTTTCCCCCTTAAAAAAAACATGCTGGGATGTACATTTTTGGTAAGCCAAGACAGTTATTCATGTCCCTGGGACGTGTCGGACTTTAGTGTTCCGGTGTTTATATGGTTGTATCTCCTGTAGATCTTGGCTTATAGGAGTGCATTTACAGTTTAGGGTGACTGTAGCGGAATTGCCCCAAATTTAAAAAAAATAACATTGGTAACAGAACTTATAGTATATATCAAAGTATTTTCTGGTCGTTATAATATTAAATCACTATTTAACTATACATACATTAAATGCTTGTTAGAATATTATACCGTAATATTACAACGCGCCTTTTATCGCAAAATTGTATTTAGTTTTACACCTCTTCGCATGCTTATTAGTGTTTCCCTACTATATTATACATGATTTTGTTATGCATAATTATAAACATTCCAGTTGAATTAATCGATCTATTAAAAACTACATCAAAATCTGTTCCGCAGTTTTAAAGATCTAAGCATACACAGGGATATAGAGAAAAAGGGAATTTGTCTTGTATTTTTTTAAGGGGGGAAAATCATCAAATGACTACTCCCGCCTGGGTGAGGCGGGAGGGAGTGTCAGACTCTTACTGACTAAAAACCACCCCGTTCCTTCTCCTGCACGTCGAGCTAGAGCCCTGGTAACCCCTTAGGTTCTCCGCGACATTTGTCTTGTATAGTGCAATGATGAAGTGATTTTGAGCCTAATGTAAAAGAAGACTCTAGAGAACTGGTTCCTAAAGTTACTCAGGATCCTCTTTTAGGAAACTGAACCGCTACCAACGTTAAAAGTAATATACAGAACGTGTGTTATATATATAATACAGACAAGGCTTACTAAAAATTCGCTCACGACTCACCAATAGGTTATGTGAGCCACAGTTTGGAAAACTTTGACCTAAATAATATTTTTCGATTTGGCACGAATGAGCCAGCTAGAGTAAAACCTACGATAGAGCGTGAAACAACGCTTGCTTATATTTTGCTGTGTGACTGCGATTAACGGACCATTTTTAACTCCAATGGCATTGGAGGTATCCACAGGCTACGCTGATCAAAGTGTTCACTTACCTTCAGGTAATGTTTACTGTTCTTTTGCCCACTATTCCATTAATCAACTAAATGTTATTGTAAATCAATATAAAAAGTACATTTCTGGCCTTGCATTATTGATTTATTTATCTAGGTTATCTAAGCATGTCTAGTCTATGTCTAGTATAGACGTAATGTGTCCTTTGTTATCTACGATGTACGGCATTGAGCCAACGCATGAATCTATAATAATTAACAACAAGATGAACCGTCTGTGACAGTTCATGCTGGTCCATGGTTCTCCTCCACATAAGAGGGTTTGCCATAACTTCCACGCTAGGACAAGTTGGCAATCTTAATCCCCCTAGCCCGATTAACCAATGTACTGTCAGAAAAACGGCCGGGCGCCATCTTTGTATGGTGGACATTCTACACATTTGCACGAAGCGTTTTGTGTCAAGCTTCTTTATGCGAACCGCTAAGGAATGGAATTCGTTCTAATCTGTTTCCAGACAAATATAACTTGGGTGTCTTCTTTAATAATTAGACATTATTAGTCTAGGTTTCCTCACGATGTATTCCTTCATCGTTTGTCAATGATGTCTAAATAATCTTAGAAAGTACATATGACTCGGAAAAAGTCACATTGGTACTATCCGTTTCGGTTACCTACATAATGTTATTAGTGAAGATTTTTAAATGTAAGGTACACGCGATACGTTTTTTATATTTCCAGTTTACAAATTTAATGATCCATAAAATAATTTATTTCCTTGATTATTTTATTTAAAAGTCGTGCTCTTTTTTTATAATATTTCTATAAATTATTTCAGTATTTTAAATCTTGTTACTGAAGGCATAAGATAGATTATGGTGTTTTGCGCTTTTGAGGCTAATAATTATTCATATCTCTGTATAAAGAGTTTAGTTTTATGATTTAAAACGAGGAAACATCAAATAAACTACATAGCTTTGTTTTCAACCATCTTCCATTAAACAAATATTATGATTAAAAATTATTTTTTAAACAAACAACCTAAAGGTTAATAGTTCCTAGGTCAAGTAAAAAAACATTAGATCTAAGTCAGATTATCATATTAGGATGACCAACGAGCAGATGGATCACCTGATGGTAAGGCAATCGGCACTTCTCAAGGATTTCTGCAATATAAGACTAGTGATAAGAGCGCGTTTTTGTTTAGGGAGGAAAATTATCGAATGACTTCTCCCACCTATACGAGGCGAGTGCCCGACTCTTACTGACTAAAAATCACCCCGTTCCTACTCCTGCGCTTCATTAATAAGAGCGCATGGAATAGCTGAATAGGATCTCTGGTGATTCTCGACTTGAAATGCCCATAAACATTTTAATATTTTAAGATATTTACTTTAATGCCTCGTTGGCCCAGTGGTCGCAAGTGCGACTGCCGGGCAAGGGGTCTCGGGTTCGATTCCCGGGTCGGGCAAAGTATTACTGGGTTTTTAAAAATCTCAGTAGTAACACGGAGTCTGGAAATGTGCCCGGTATATGGCAATAGGCTCACCATTACATGGGACTCATAACATAAATTATGAAAAGTGGGTGTTACATTGTAAAGTAGCATTAAGTGCCGAAATGTGCACCTCTGCCTATCCCTTAGGGGATAAAAAGGCGTGATGTTATGTTATTTATTTTAATGTTTCAGGCCAAAACTGGTCGCCTTGACAACGTCATTTGGAAATGTGAATCTCACCCAAGCAAATATAAACAGCGATCGGATTCTGCGAGTCAGTGAGAGGCTAGATGTAAGTTTTGATAAGAATACTGATAAGATTACCACACCTAAAAATATTATGATGCAATGTTTTTTCAAGCGCTGCCCCACATTAGGGTTTTTCTCCTGTGTCGTGGGTGCGTTTACAAACATACAAGTTTACATACACATGACACCCAGACTCGAAACAACAATTTGTAGATGAACACAAAGTGTTGTTCCGTACGAGAATCGAACCCACGACACGTTGCACGGCAGTCAGTTGCCCAGCCACTACACCAACCATGCAGTCAAAGTCCGTTTTGTATTTATACACAATTATATTATACTAGCTTTTACCCGCGGCTTTGCTCGCGTCACAAAAGGATAAAAAGTAGCCTATGTGACATATACCAATACAAACAGCGCCATCTATACCAATATTTTTGTTTTCTTTCGGGAATATCAAATTTTTCCGGCTTAAAAAGTACCCTATTATTTAATTCGAACTTCAAAAATTCAAAGCAATCGGTTTAGTAGTTACGGCGTGAAAGTGGAACAAACAAACAAACAAACTCACTTTCCCATTTAAAATATTAGTAAGGATAACCTTGTATTTAAGAGTATGGCAAACCATTTGATTTGAGTTCCCTGCAAAGCAAGACATTTTTTATGAAATTTCATTATCAGTCAATCAAGCGGTGCTTTCAAATTCCAACTGCCGATTTCAATTAGACCAAGAAGGTACTTATAAACGTCAACAAAAAAATAATAAAAAAGGCAGTCTTTCGGTCCGACCTGCAGTAAAGCTAAATAGTTTTAAAGATGTAGAACCTATGAAAATAAAAAATGAAAAAAGACCTATGAAGAAGAATAAACAAAAACTCCTTAGGTTACTCTTTTTTAATCAGGTTCACAATACAATTCAAAATGTACTGTCATAGTCAACATGGCATATTCACTTTGTTTCAATCTCTTACTATTTACATGCGTTTTAGTATTTGCTACCAATGTAGGACACATTACATGATTTTATGGTCTTCCGAGTAACCTTCGTGTCAAACCTCTCAATATTATAAGAACATGTTATCATAAATCCACGCCTGTTGTTTCCTGAAAGTAGAATGACAATGTTTATTTATCTAACAACTGATAAAAATATGACAGTGATAAAACATTTACAACTAAACTATATTTTTGCCTACAGTTTTGCTTGCGTTGAAATTTTTGAAATCTTTTTCTTCTATTTTATTAATAATGTTTGATTGCGTGGTTTTTAGGATATAAAAAAAAACGACTTTACCCCACTTTAGGATCTTCTCCTGTGTCGCGGGGGCGTTTAAAACATATAAATTCACATAGACATGATACCCAGACCCGAAACGAAAATTTGTGGATCCCACAAAAGTGTTGTTCCGTGCGTGAATCGAACCCGGGCCAAGCTGCACGGCAGCCGGTTATCCAGGCACCGTGCCAGTCGTGCACTCAATTTATTCAGAAACTATAGCTAGACCACCACCGACTAATGTCTTTTTATTACATTCGTACATCTGGTCGTACAATTATAACACAATTTACTCGATAATGGTTAATGGTGAAAATAAAAAAAAATTGTTTACCTTCTTTAACGTTTAATAATTGCAGATACCAATATACTCAGGTGCTAACAAGGCCTTTATAGAAGAAATGGGATCAGATCGCTATTTTGGACTGGATGGATTAGGAGACACTGGCTACCAAGCTCCAGAGCCAATAGATATTGAAAAGCAACCAGCCGCTGTTGCACTTATAGAACTTTCAAAGAAATATAAAGGTATAAAAGATTTTTATAGCATATATGGTAGAGGCAAACGTAGTGCAAAGCGCCCTCTAGCTAGGTGGAGTGACGATATACGTATAGTGGCTGGTAGTGGTTGGATGCGTAGAGCTGAAGACCGATCTCAGTGGCGTGCCATTGGAGAGGCCTATATGCAGCAGTGGGCGAAAACAGGCTGTTGATGAACTATGATATTCCCTTTAATTTACAAAATGAGGGTTTATCAATATAACACCTACTTTTTGTTGACATTGTGGCGACACATGTCACAAATCAACGGATGACGTCACAAGAATCCTACATCGCACATGCAAAGTTTACAAGAGAATAAACACGGATAGAAAAACCCAACGAACAACTGTTGGGCAGAAAGCCCGCCAGGCACGATCACCTCGCCTGGTCGGAGGATCCTCCTTTTCCGATCTTAGGGAACTATACTCTCTGTTCCCTAAAGTGGTGACCCCGACGTGATTGGAAGCAACCTTCACTTCACGGAGCTGATCAGCACCGTCATCCGTATCGCCATCCCTCTCATTCACCATTTCTCCGCTGAGCGGTAATCAAGTCGCAGCCAACCAGCATCCTCGGCCTCATCAGGGACCACCATCGCCTGCAACGAAGTCGTGCAGCCTGGTTCTTCCCTACGGCCTCACCAGCGTCTAGGCACAGCACTTCTGCACACGGTTCTGAAGGACATCTCCTCCCGTCAACGCAGACGCCAGCCACTACGCACCTACCCTCGCAGCATCTCTTCCCCGACTCACCGTGGGACACTGCGAACTCATCTCTCCGACTCACTGGAATATCGCCCTGCACCGCTCACCCGACTCACTGGGCACTCAGCGGCACAGTTCCGACTCACTGGAACTAGGGACTTTCTACACTGGCTCTGGCACCGCTCATCTCAAGCATCGACAGCCGTCTCAGCGGGATCGACCTCCGGTCTTGGGAGGGAGTGATGTGGCGACACATGTCACAAATCAACGGATGACGTCACAAGAATCCTACATCGCACATGCAAAGTTTACAAGAGAATAAACACGGATAGAAAAACCCAACGAACAACTGTTGGGCAGAAAGCCCGCCAGGCACGATCACCTCGCCTGGTCGGAGGATCCTCCTTTTCCGATCTTAGGGAACTATACTCTCTGTTCCCTAAAACATAAACTGGCCCCTGGTCCAAACTTATAACTTTTTTATGTGATAAGCCGGTAAACGAGCAGACGGATCAATTGATGGTAAGCAATCGGCGTCGCCCATGGACACCCGGAACACCAAAGGCGTTACAAATGCGTTACTGGCCTTTTGGGGGATTATGAGTTTGAGGAACGTTGGGTATTTAGGGATTGGGAAGATTGGGTAGGGAGGGGGAATAATAGCGCCTCCGGTAACTACACTTATATGACGATACATAACGCAAGCGTTGTTTCACGTCGGTTTTCTATGAGGCCGTGGTAACCCTCCGGTTGAGCCGGCCCATTGGTGCTGAAGCATGCATCTTCCACACTTATACTGAAAAGTGTAAACCAAAACAACTTAATCAATAGTTTGTAAATCGCAAATTAGTACTCCATGCTATCTCTGACAAAGTCGAAGTCAAAGTCAAAATCATTTATTTCAATTAGACCAGAAAAGCACTTTTGAACGTCAATAATAAAATTAAAAGTGAAGCTATTTGCTCATTCCAAAGTGTAGATTCCTATGGAGAAGAACGAGCAAGAAACTCCATAGGTTACTCTTTTTCAATCAGTTCACAATACAATTCTCTAGTTACATAGTTTGCTGTTTGGATTGTGCGAGAACAATGTAACACTAAAATCTAGACAAAGTGATTGAATTGACACTTGAATTGACAAATTTAAAAATCTTCTATAGTTTTGAAAATCGATTCACAAGAACTAGTACCGTTTACGTTTTCTCAGACCAATAGCAAAACAAGACAAGTTTAAACCATAAGACTGTACTAGATAATTTTATCAATTATTTTCAGATGAACTAATAGTAGTAGCTATCGGTCCAGCTACTAACATCGCTCTGGCTGTGAAACTGGATCCCCAATTCATCCACCGACTAGCACATTTATATATTGGCGGTGGTCATATCTACAGTAAGTTTAACTCTGTATAATATTATTAGATATAATAATGACTTCCTCGATGGCCGAGTGGTCGCAAGTGCGACTGCCGGGGTCTCGGGTTCGATTCCCGGGTGGGGCATAGAATTACTGGGTTTTTGAAAAAAATCTTACTAGTAAAAAGGAGTCTGGAAATGTGTCCGGTATATGGCAATAGCCTCACCCTGTATTCTCGTAGGGACTCGTAACATAATTAGTGAAAAGTGGGTGTTACTTCTTTGTGCACCTCTGCCTACCTCTTTGGGGATAAAAGGTGTGATGTTATGTTATGTTAATAATGTATGATTCAATTGATAATGACTCATTTGGAAGAGCCGATTATTACAATACTAGATAAATTTTAACTGAGGAATATCTTTGAATATTTGACAATTCTTTCATACTAAAAACTGTCAAATGTCAATTTCATTTTACAGTTAAAAGTTAATTAATGTTTGAAAAATCAGCCCTGAAAGGCATTTTCACGCATAACTTGCTCTTGTACGCTTTGAAAACAACGTTAAAAAATATATCGTACGACACACAATTTAAAGTGATTTATTCACACATATTTAAATAATAAGATAATTTCTGGATTGCCGGTTAAATGTGCTATGACCGTAAATTATTATAGTTCGTCATATTATTATTTTATTTGTTTCGTTTGTAAATGAGATTGTGCAGACAAATAAAATAAATCTATTTTCAAGAAAGTAGCTAATGTGTTTTTATAATAACTATCGTGAGACATATTAAGACAGATGTGGTCACGGCGACGTCGCGCACGCTGCTCGTGAGGAAGAACCCCTCTGTAGTTCGAAACTAGTAGAGCTTTTCTCAGTTTATTCACGTGAGTAACCCGCGATTTTAGTTAATTAAGTACCTAATGTGACATTGTTATGTATTGTTACAGGTGAAAAATATCCAAACGCTGAATTCAATGCCGCCATGGACCCTGAGGCATACCACATAGTGGCAGACAGTGCTGTAGCTGATAAAGTCACTATTGTACCATTCTCTCAAGTTATCGAAACGCTTAAAATTCCTATTGTACGTCTAATTTATTTTTTCTACCTTTATTTTAATACATAACATAACATCACGCCTTTTATCCCCGAAGGGGTAGGCCGAGGTGCACCTTACGGTACTTAATGCCACTGTACAATGTTTCACCTACTTTTCACTACTTATGTTATGAGTCCCATGTAATAGGGGGTGAGCCTTTTACCATATACCGGACACAATTCCGGATTTCGTGCTACTACTGAGCATTTTCATAAAACCCGGTAATACTTTGACCGACCCGGGATTCGAACTCGAGACCCCTTGTCCCAGCAGTCGCACTTGCGACCACTCGGACGACGAGGCAGTCTTTATTTTATTCCGCCTTGGTAATCAAAGTTGCAAGTGTGACGTCACATATTAATTGAAAAATAATAAATCTCAGTTTTGAGATCCATATTCGATCAGTATTATAAAATACAAAATGTATTATAATTTACTACTGCCTCGTTAGCCGAGTGGTCGCAATTGTGACTGCAATGCAAGGGGTCTCGTGTTCGATTCCCGGGCCGGGCAAAGTATTTCTGGGTTTTAAAAAAATTCTCAGTAGTAGCACGGAGTCTGGAATTGTGCCCGGTATATGGCAATAGGCTCACCCCCTATTACATGGGACTCATAGCATAAATAGTGAAAAGTAGGTGTTACATTGTACAGTGGCATAATGTGCACCTCTGCCTACCCCTTGGGGATAAAAGGCGGGATGTTATGTTTTATTATACGACAAAATTAAAAAATACGTGTCTAATATTTTTTCATTGCCTAACTGACGGACTAATTAGATTTTTAATTTTCGTACCCTGTCATCATCCCAATTCAAATTAATGATTTTGACTTTGACTTTGATTTTCTGTTACAGGAATGGCGTAAAGACGTATTAGGTGCGATTGACACACCAATCATGCGAGCTCTGAACGTGTATGAACAAGTAGCTCTTCCCAAAGAGAAAGCTTGGAATCTTCTGGATCCAGCCGTTGCAGCTATAGCTCTTCATAATGAAATCGTCGACGAGATTAAAAATTCTAACAACACTATTATTTTAGAAGGTAAGCAGTTTATGAAATTCTAGCGACCCGCTCCGGCTTCGCACAGGTGCATTATGCATGTATTATACACATAAATCTTCCTTAAGAAGCACTGAATCTATTAAAAAAAATATATCAAAATCCGTTGCGTAGTTTTAAAGATCTAAGCATACATAGGGACAGACAGACGGCGGATAGGGACTTGGTTTTATACTATTTAGTTTTTAGAAGATTCATGACCGTTGGCACCAACTAATCCTACCATCACTTAACTAAAAGTTACTTGGCGTAACGTAGCACCTTAACTTATCCTTGTACCGTTAGGTGTCGCTTATAGGTTAGTGAAAACCAAAATCATAGCTTAAGGGTTTCTTAAGCGCGGAGAACCTAACGGGTTACCGGGACTCCGGCTCGACGTGCAGGAGAAGGAACGGGGTGGTTTTTAGTCAGTAAGAGTCTGATACTCCCTCCCGCCTCAGCCAGGCGGGAGCAGTCATTCGATGATTTTCCCTACTTAAAAAAAAAAGGTTTCTTAAAATAAAGGTGCGATTGAAGTACTTACAGTTTTATAGCCCCTAAAATGTATAGAATAGCAAAAAACTTATTTGTATCACACTAAATGAAAATATTGCTATACTGTTTATAAATTGTTACTAGAATAAAAATATTAGAAGTCGTTCTAATGAGGAATATAGTAGAAAATCAACCGTCTACCGGCTTCCTTTTAATAGTACTTAGATCTTTTTTTATGTGACAAACCGGTAAACGAGCAGACGGATCTTCTGATGGTAAGCAATCAACGCCGCCCATAGACATCTGAAGCACCAGAGGCTTTACAAGTGCGTTACCAGCCTTTTGTGAATTGCGAATTTGAGGGTTCTGGGGGAATCGGGGATTGGGAAGACTGAGGTGGGTACTGTGGTAGTAATTGGGCCTCCGGTAACCTCACTCACACAACGAAACACAACGCAAGCGTTGCTTCACGTCGGTTTTCAGTGAGGCCATGATATAGCTCCGGTCAAACCGGCCCATTCGTGCCGAAGCAAGGCTCTCCCACACTTAACCTAAGATATTGAGACGATAACTGAACCCTTTCTTTTACATGTTACAGGTGAAAAACGTGGCATCATCTCAAACGACTTTTCTTCATCGGATCCCAATGCAAAAGTGTTTTACAAAGGCAACGTTGAATACTATCAGAAGTTCATCTTAGACGTGTATTCAGCCGAATTAAATCCTTAATCTTGATAGAGATATGGTTGAAAATGTCATAGATGATGGTCAAGGGCACGAGGACTAAAAATGGTGTTTTTGAGTTGAAAGTTGTGATATTTTTATTTTAATTTTATTTTAGATTCTTTCTAATAATTTATACATTTGAAACTAAAAAGTAACTATCTTTATTTTACAAAAGTGAATATTATAATAAAAAATGCGAGTATAATCTTTTGAAAATTAGTAAAGTAATTTTAAATTCAGAATGCATTGCAATTTTTTAAATTTGTTTTAATGAAAGAAAGTGTGTGCCATAAGCTGTTTGGCTATTTTACTTGTGTATAATTTGTAAAAAATCTGAATTATCTTATCATCGACTTAATATAGGTAGTAAATTATATGTGATTTATACATAGTCTTATGGAAAATATTTTGTACTTATTGTATCCCTAGTATTATGGGATAAAGGCGTGATATTTATTGTATTAGTATAATAAAATGATTTTTTGAATTTTTAGCAATTTTATTTATAGCATACTAACTTGAAGATGACCATGTCGAAGACCAAACTAATAACAACCAAACTAACAGCATAAAAAAAAGGTTAGAGGTAGATAGCGTAGAAATAGAATACGTCCAAGAATATTTTTATCTGGGTCAACTAATTTCTTTCCAGGCGAGACAAAATAGAGAAGTTGCTAGACGCACCGAAAACGCCTGGAAGAGCTATTAGTCCGTCAAAGACCAACTGAAAGGTAATCTTCCATTAGCGCTCAAAAAAATAACTCATGGACAAAGTGCTCAAAAAAATAACTCATGGGCAAAGGCGCTCAAACTTGGTCTTAGACACAACATCAGAAGTCCAAATTCAAGTTTTTTTTTAAGTGGGGAAAATCATCGAATGACTGCTCCCGCCTGGGTGAGGCGATAGGAGTGTCAGGCTCTTACTGACTAAAAACCACCACGTTCCGTCTCCTACACGTCGAGCCGGAGCCCTGGTTACCCGTTAGGTTCTCCGCGACAAACTCAAAGTTTGCCAGCGGACCATGGGGCACAGAATCTTAGGAGTTCGACTATCGGACAGAATTAGGAACACCACGCTGCGCTCAACAACTAAAATCATTGACGTTGGTCATAAAGCCGCAGGTTTGAAGTGGAACTCCGCTGGTCATGTCTGCCGCATGTCAGACGAGCAGTGGGCAAAACTTACTACTGAGTGGAGCCCGCTCAGTGTCAATAGACGTCGCGGTAGGCTCAAAAGGAGATGGCGGGACGAATTTGACGTCTATGTCATGGATTGGCCGCAAAAAGCTTTATATAGAGAGAAGTGGACGGAGGGTAGGGAGGCCTTTGCCCTGCAGTGGGACGATCGTGGTTGAAAATAAATAATAAATAAATAAAAACTATCCTTGTTCCAAATTCCATCCCAATCCCTTCAGCCGATTTCACGTTATTGATTAACAAACATTCACATAAAAATACAAACGCACCAACTTACATACTTTCGAATTTATAATATAGACAAAAATTCTTCATTCCACTATACAAGTTTATTATGAAAAAAGAGTTTTAAGTCTGGCAAGGTCTGAACTTATAATTACAAAAAAAAATACAAATAATACGTTATCTCGTTGAAACCATTAGGTATATATTGCGTTTAAAATTAAACTTCTACATAAAAGAACCTAATCTGTTATATTGTTGTTCACCGGTTTACTTACAATACACATATAAACATAAAGATTAAATAATTCATGTCCGTTTCTATAAAAACACACAAAAAATGTGATAAACTACATAATCGGTTCACATTTGAGTAATAAGTTTATGCTTCGTTTAGAACTAACATTTAAAAAATACTGGAACGCTAACGAGACACTTTTAATTGTAACTAGGTATTTGGATATAAAAGTCATTATTACGTAGATTATCCAATTGTCACTACATAACATAACATAACATCACGCCTTTTATCCCCGAAGGGGTAGGCAGAGGTGCACACAGAGGTAACACCCACTTTTCACTATTTATGTTATGAGTCCCATGTAATAGGGGTGAGCCTATTGCCATATACCGGGCACATTTCCAGACTCCGTGCTACTATTGAGATTTTTTGTCACTATTCAGCAATAATCACACATAACATAACATCACGCCTTTTATCCTCGAAGGGGTAGACATAAGTGCATTAGGGCACTTAATGCCACTGTACAATGTAACACCCACTTTTCACTATTTATATTATGAGTCTCATGTAATAGGGGGTGAGCCTATTGCCATATATCGGGAACATTTCCAGACTCCGTGCTACTACTGAGCATTTTTTAAAAAACCCAGTAATACTTTGCCCGACCCGGGAATCGAACCCGAGAGCAAGGCAAGAGGGCCTTGCGACCAGTCGAGCAATGAGGCAGTCCTTACATTTTCTCAAATTTCCCAATTGTCAATATTTTCTCATATATTCTGTGTGTTATAATTACAAAGTAAATAATGATAAGTTATACTTAATAAATCATAGTTTATCACTACTTAGTTATTAGACACGACCTCATTACAATGAACTAGGCGATAACGTGGCACGTGAATGCATACACGGATGGCACAGTGGGTGGATTACTGGCAGTTGTGCAATATATTGCGGGTTTAATTTCCGCACAAAATATATTTTTGAGTGATCCACATGTTGTTGTAGTTCCGGGTCTGAGAGTGATATGTAATAATATTAGACACTAGCTTCTACTCGCGACTTCGTACGCGCAATCCCGTTTTCTCCTCTTAACGAAGGATTTTCAGGAATTTTTCTTTCTTAAGAACCTTCTCCTAATAATAACAAATACAATAAAAAAACAGCCAAATCGGCCGTTTTCATGCTATGTCGTGGCAATGGAAAACGGGTTTCATTTATATATAAGATATTGCAAGTTTTGTTCCAGTTATAATTTCACATGACAGTTTTTGCCATCAATGTGTCGATAAAAATTAATGCCATCTAGCGTAAAAACGAAAAATCAAAAAAACGCACATATCAGGTTTGGCAAGCGCACCGACGATATATAAGGTGTTAATAAATAAGCTCTATATATTTTATGAGGTGGGTTTTATGGTGGGAATCAATATACAGACACGTATAGCAAAAAAAAATAAACAATTTTAACGACTTTTATTTTTAACAAAAACAAAAATAAATATGTTTAAGACACATGGGAACACCCTAGTATCGAAAAAATAGAAAAAATGGCGAAATGTATTCGTACTGATACACCTTAAAGTCTATTTAGTTGCTTTTTACCATCACATTGCTTTAACGAAAAGAAAAGAACTATAGATTTTCTATCCATAGTTGTTTCTTTACTAAATAAATATCCTTCTATAGTTTGTATATGTTGCTATCAAAACAGGACGGGAATATGCCAATCAATTTTTGAAAATAGAACTCTTGGTTAGTGGGAAAGAGACACCACTCTTTGAAGGTCATTGACCTGCGAGTCTAATTCGCGCGCATTCGACGCTTGTCGGTTGTTTACGTGCAACGCGCACGAGTAGAAAAACATTATTATTGTGTGTTATTGATTCAAGCCAAGATAATAAGTTAATACATAATACATAATGGTTAAATAACGGCTCATAGTTCAGTATTATTCCAGTGTTTTACAGTGATATAGTGTATTTTGATTTGTTCAAAAATGGCTGCCAAGTGAGTTCTGTTTTTGAAATTTTGCTTCGTAATGCTGTAGTGTTTTGTTATGGGTGAAGTTTTGTTTGTGTTGTACAATGGAATTTAGGTTTTCTGATGTTTTGATGAAGGGATTTTGGATCGTTTATGTGGAATTGGGTGTTACAAACTGAGCATGTAATGTATGTATTTATTACTTGAACAAATTCAATGTTAACATTAACTTACTAATTTTGTTTGTGTGTCGTCGTGTGAGTTACCAGAGGCCCAATTACCCCCACTCCCCAATTCCTGAATGCCTAACAATCTTCAAATTCTAAATAACCAAAAGGCCGGTAACGCACCGGCCTTTTGGTTATTAAGGGTTCCGGGTGTCTATGGGCGAAGCCGATTAGTTATCATCAGGTGATCCGTATGCTCGTTTACCGGCTTCTCCCATAAAAAAAACTCTTTTCTAATTATCTCGTAGGATTAGTGGATGAAAATGTGACTAGTGAAATAAAGATGCTTTGTATGAAAGATTTGCAGATATGACTAAAGATGCTTGTAATGGAAACTTACCTGCCACAAGCAACTATTATTTACATAGAAGCTATTGAAAAATATCTACAATATGTTATGAAATATTAAGCTCATCCCCTATTACACCCACTTATTACAATGTAACACCGCCATTGTACAATTACAGTGGCATTAAGTGCCGTAATGTGCACCTGTGCATACCCCTTCGAGGATAAAAGGGGCGATGTTATGTTATCTTCATCCGGATATAAGTGATAGCGGTTACGATTTTAAAACCAATTGGTATAAAACGCAATTGGGATGATGACAGGGTATGAAAAATTAAAAAATCTAATTAGTCAGTCAGTTAGGCAATGACAAGATATTAGACACGTATTTTTTTATTTTGTCCTATAATAAAACAATACTTAGATGGAACGAATCAAAGTTTAGGAGTGGGAAGTAAAACGTTATTTCTACTTAAAAAAATTACATAGAAGTGACGTCACGCGACATTTCAAATCATACATCGCCGAAAGTATTCGGTTCTGTAAGAAAATAAAATATACGTGTCTAATGATTTAAAATAATCTACCAGACGGACATTGAAATAAAAAGTAGGCATCTACCCTATTCAAGATCGTATCAAAGGTTACTAGGCTGCTAGCATGTTCTATTTACTTTGTACTCCAAGATAACTATTCTACCAATAGGTACAATAAAGTTCAATCTTTTACTAGACTACGATAATAATCTTTAGATCAGTCAGTAACAAAAATACTATTTTAGACTTTATAGCCACATTCGTAAAGAAGGTTATGAATTGTCTCAAATCACGCTATGTTTATTTTTAGGTATTGTAAACGCAAATGGAGTTATGGAAAAACCTAGGTTTTAACTTTTTAATGTCCGATTATAAAAAACCCGCATTTGTCCATACAAAAATAGGTAGTCTATAAACATCGGAAATATTTTCCTTGTGGGACTATTATTCATTCTCATTGCATTGATGACGATATATACTACGAATATCTACACACTAAACAGCAAAACTGAATCAACATTATGGTTGCCTACAAAATCGCTATTAGGTACTTAGGTACTCTTTCGAGCATAAAAAAGTTAGTGCCAATTTTTCAATGCTCAGAGATAAATTTTAACGGAATAACTTTGAAATTTTTGAAATTTTCTGTACTAAAAACTGTCAACTGTCAATTTTATTCTAGAGTTAAAAATTAACTGCAGCTGTAGCCAAATGCCATTTAGTGCTTGTCTACTTGTAGAGTAGAAAACTAAAATATATGGGATTGACGTAAATTTTGACACTTGTCAGTGTCATCCCATACATTTAGTTTTCTACTCTCTCTGTAGACAAGCGCTAAAGTGGCCTTTGGCTAAAGTCACTGATCATTGAAAAATCGACCCTTAAACTGTCAAACACCAAGCGGTCACCGGTGACCGCGACCTATTGTTCTTTAATTGTGTCTATAAAACCGGTACTAGACGAGTTAAACGAACAAAATATTTGTTATCACACTAATATTACAAGACGTTTCAGAAATGTGGGATAAGTTTGGGAGAGCCATGCTTCGGCACGAATGGGCCGGCTCGACCGGAGTGATACCACGGCCTCACAGAAAACCGACGTGAAGCAACGCTTGCGTTGTGATTCGTCGTGTGAATGAGGTTACCGAAGGCCCAATTACCCTCCCCTTCCCCAATCTCCCCAATTCCTGAATCCCCGACGATCCTTAAACTCCTAATCCCCATAAGGCCGGTAACGCACTTATAATGCCTTTGGTATTCCAGGTGTCCATGGGCGACGCCGATTGCTTACCATCAGGTGATCCGTCTGCTCGTTTATCGGCTTATGCCATAAAAATTTTTTATAAACGTGATAGTTTCTTTGTTTGCATGTTTGTTCGTCAATCACGCTGAAACTACTGAACGGATTGTGATGAAATTTGGTATATAATGGTATATAATAGGGTATGGGCTGACTTAGGTGATAGGATACTTTTTATCCCGATTAAATGCTCCCATGGGATAAAACAAATCGAGTTTTAAATAAATTCGCAATCAAGTTGTGAGTCCAGTAACTGGTATACAGCCGAAAAGTAAACGGGTCTACAGTAGACATCTTAAATTATTTGATTGTTGAATAAGTAGGTTTATAGCTATCAAACATTTAGTTCATCTTCCTACGCAGTTGAAGCTGCACGTCATGATCGTGTTAAGAGCAATATTCGTATTTTTGTTTGTTTGTGTTTGTGTGCAATGGTATGTATAACGTAATGAATTATTTTTAAAGTTAAAGAGTTGGGTACTGTATAAATGTATGCGGATAGGTGTTTTTAAGTGTGAATGAAAACTTGTGAGATAGGTATTTTAACGAAAAGTATTTAGAGTTTGTAATAGGTACATGTTATTTAATGATATGGTTTTAGGTTTCCGAAAAAATCGAAAACATTAAACAGTTACTCATTCTTTACTGTGTTTGGTGTTTAATAAGTTTGTTTTGTTACGATAAAAAATTGAACTTGGACACGTGTACACAGTTTTAAAATATAATTAGTGTCTTTATTTAGGTAACTTAACTATTATCTGCCTCGTTGGCCGAGTGATCGCAAGTGCCAGGCAAGGAGTTTCGGTTTCGATTCGGGTCGGGCAAAGTACTACTGGGTTTTAAAAAAAAATCTCAGTAGTAGCACGGAGTCTGGAATTGTGTCCGGTATACCTATGGCAATAGGCACACCCTCTATTATACGGCACTCATTACATAAATAGTGAAAATTGGGTGTTACATTGTACAGTGGTATTAAGTGCCTTAATGTGCACCTCTGCCTACACCTTCCGGAATAAAAAAGCATGATGTTATGTTATGTCTTTCTTTAAGTTAGTTGTATTACAGAAAATAAGGAATTAACATTTTTTGAGTTCATGTAAAATTATACGAATTACGAATTATTCGTGTAATTAAACGATTTGAAATCGTATTTTGAACTATACATACATTAAATAAAAGTTTGTTAGTCATATTACCTTGTATTCATTTAAATCAAAGTCAAAATCATTTATTTCAATTAGACCAGGAAGGCACTTTTAAACGCCAACAATATAAATTTAAAAGTGGCGCTATTTGCTCATTCCTACGGAAAAGAACGAGCAAGAAACTCCATTGGTTACTCTTTCTCAATCAGGTTCACAATACCTAATTCTCCATTTACACAGTTTTATTGTTTCGATTGTGTTATTAAGAAAAGTTTTTAAGCAAATAAAGGAAAAATCTTGGACTGTTTCTCTAGTGTAAATACCTCACTAAGAATATTTATTTATGTCGAAATATTCAAACACTACTGAATTATAACCCATTGAAATTCATCCCCTAAATTTGTTTATACAAAAGTAGTCTCTAAACATTGGAAATAAGGTCTATAATGTAGTTAGTGAGGAGAGCAGTCACCGGTGACCGCTTGGGGATGTATGGGTTAAGTCATCATTCAGTATAGTTCTATCACTATATTTTTTTTGTAAAATGACCGAGACGGCACGATATTTAAGTACAACTTTAAATTGAGTAGACCTTCAGTATTCAAACATTATTTAGTCACTTAAAGTAACATTAAGCTGTTTACACTATGTTTCTCTGGGGAAAAAACATGCATGTATTACGTCATATTTATTGAAGTTAATATTTTACGTCTTCATGACTTGAATAGTTTATTCATCAATGCATGTCAAATGTCAATGCATGCAGTTTATTTACCTATTTATTTTAGGAACAAAACTGTCTGACCTGGAACATATTCGACAGTAATTTGCACTGGATACCACTAATCTGTCTAATCTGACTGTGACTCTACGGTTGGTGACGTGACAGGGCAACTGGCTGCAGCGCGACGTGTCGTGGGTTCGATTCCCGTATGGAACAACTCTGTGTGATTCACAGATTGTTGTTTCGGGTCTGGGTGTCAGGTGTATGTGAACTTGTATGTTTGTAAACGCACCCACAATACAGGAGAAAATCCAAGAGTGGGGCAACGTTTTTCAAATAACAAAAAAAATCAGGACTTCACGAAAGCTATAAAATAGTGATTTATTAACAGTGAGCTACTCCCGCGCGTTTTTACGTCTCTGCTCGGTCTCTATTGATCATAACGTGATGTGTTGTAGCCAATGGCCTTTCTGGATAAATGCCCTATCCAATACAAAAAGGAATTACTCAAATTGGACCAGTACTTACGGATATTAGCGCGTTAAAATAAACCAACTTCTCAGCTTTTAAAAAAAATAAAAGACTATATAGATCTCGTTATATCTTTATATTAGCTAAGGTGTGACTATTCTGATACGATCTTAGTGTTTATGAAATCAATATTATTCTCATTGTGACAGGGTTAGGTGGTACTCGATACTTATCTCACAAGATAACAATTTGACCTACTGATCAGACACTAAAAATATACAAAGACGAAAATAAAGAGTGTTAACCATTTTTTATAATTAAAAACAAGAATTTTTGCCGAGAGTTAACTAGATGACTCGGCAAAAATTGTAACGCCAAAAAATTTTTTTCTCACCATTTAAACCTTCCCGTAGAAGTCCCACGAACATTTAAAACCAAAATTAGCTAAATCGTTATAGCCATTCTCGGGTTTTAGCAAGACTAACGAACGGAAACTCATTTTTATTTAGGTAAATAGGTAGATATGATTGTCATAGCCAATAAAAATAGTTGTTCATCTTGACATTATTTTTCAAATTACAAGTCTTGTTTCTTTTGCTTTATTTTGTATGGAACTGCATGCTATATGAGTATTGATACATTCATGTAGTATAGGATTTGCTTCAAATTGTATTATTATCCATAAGGTTATTGTTTTTCTCTATCCCTTCGACTAAATACTGGTCACATCGTTTTCATATAATTGAACCAACGTAACAAGTATTGTAAACCTGATTTAAAAAGAAAAGAGTATGGAGTTTCTTGCTCGTTCTAGTTCTAGTTCGAGGTAAAAACTTCCAGTTACCTACTTATCCCACTTAGAATGAAGAGAATAATTATACACCTAGGTACAACAAAATACCTTCATTAGAGGAGTGACCGACGGACTGACATTTTTAATATTTTGTTTGACGTCTTCGACTTTCTAATTGGTGTAACTTACCTTCTTTTTCTACTTTCATCAAACCCTATTTGTAGACAAACTCCCTTTTCTATTATATTGTTATTTTCACAATCAACCATCCTCACCTTTCGTATATTCTGCATCTTTCCATTTATTAATATCTTGTTCTATTCTACAGACTGTCGCGTCGTAGGAAAAACGTTTTATTGCAAAATTTCTCAAGTTACTATATATTTTTTACAGTGACGACAAGAAACCTAAGTTTATAATCGACAATGACGCCGGTGGAGACGATGCGATGGCCATATTCTTGGGCTTACTCTACGAGAAGTATTTTGATGGGTTAGTAATTTTTAAATTCTAAGATTACATCAACAGCCTATAATGCCCACTGCTGAGCAAAGTCTCTTTTCACACGGAAAAAGTTTGAGTGTTAATCACTACGCTTGCTCAATGCGGGTTGGTGATTTCAAACTTATAATTAGAAAGTATAAGCCCAGGTCCCCCAGGTCACGATGTTTTCCTTCACTTTTTGTAAGTGGTGTCTGAATAATCTTAGAAAGTACATATAACTGGGCTAAAGTCACATTGGTACTTGCCGCTGGTTGCATGAGAAGCAGGCGTCTTCAACCTCCGAGCCTCCACGACAGTGATGATTTTAAGAATAAAAAACCATTAATATAAGATTAGATCTAGTAGGTTCGAAATCATATCATGTTATTAATTTCTATCACAGATCTTAGTTTTACGTAAATTTTAACCCGAAGTCTTAGTACGAATGTGTTTTAGTAAAGTAATCTTAGCGAGTACTCGTCGAGCGCTCTGATTGGTCGGCTTCAGTGCACCAACAAATCATAGCGTCAAACGCGCTCGATACTATTTCATTACGAATGCGATAGTTATTCGTGCTTGGCTCTCAAACTGCCTAACGCGATCTCGTTTTGATTACTTTTGAAGTTAAAAAAAAATCGTTTTAAACTGTCAAACAGCAAGCGGTCACCGGTGACCGCGACCTATTGTTCTTTAATTGTGTCTATAAAACCGGTACTCGACGAGTTAAGCCCTCTGCCTACAATAGCATTATAATAAAACTTCAAACTTTTCTTTTTCAGACCTAAGCTGGTAGCGTTGACGACAGCAAATGGAAACACAAAAGAAGACAACGTCTATCACAACAACCAAAAAGTATTAAAAGTAGCCAATCGACAAGATGTAAGTATGCTAAATTTACTTTACAATATTGTAGACTTGATATAAAACAATTCGAATCTTTGTGTCTACTGAAAATGTCTGATACAGCGAAAACATCCCAATGAACAATTATTTACTAGACCAAGAATCGACCAACTCAATTAATGACGAAAGCAACAAATCATATGAAATTACGTTATTACAAATCATACGATTATGTTTTGACCATAGAATTAATAATTAATAATAATCGTTATTAATCTAAGGTTTTGACTTATTTCTGAAATAGAATGATACAGAAAAAATAGGATCAATGTATTATTATAGTTGTTACTTAAGAATAATTGAGTATTGGATATATGATAAGTCGCAAGTGCGACTGCCGAACCCTTGCCCGGTCTCGGGTTTGATTCCCGGGTCGGGAAAAGTTTACTGGGTTTTAAAAAAAATCTCAATAGTAGCACGGAGTCTGGAATTGTGCAAGGTATATGGCAATAGGCTCACCCCCTATATCTGGGACTCATAACATAAATAGTAAAAAGTGGGTGTTACTTCTGTGTGCACCTTTGTCTACCCGTTCGAGGATAAAAGGCGTGATGTTATGTTATGTTCATAGTTACTTGCATATCCATAGTAGACTTTTGATAAATTTTTCAATACCTATGTATAGTTATGTCATGTATTACCACGTGGGCGTTGTGTAATATGAATATTAAGTTCCTTTATACAACTGATTATGCGAAGTGCGATAATTTTAAATTAACCGACTTCAATTTGTTGAACTATGACATCGTATGGACGATAAGAATTACTTATCAAGATTTACGTCATCGCCTTGGTCTCGATTTCAATTACCGTTGTGCCAATGGACAGTTAAGAATACTTTATTATATAATTATTTCGCTGTTGATAATAGTTACGTATTCAGCTGTATTTGTTTCCATAGTTTGTAACTAACATTACCAATTCATGGTAGTTGTCTCAGCAACGCGCACGAAGCGCTTCGCATCAAGCTTCCTTGTGCGTATTGCTAAGGAGTGGAATCATTTGCCAGAGTCTGTATTTCCTGAAGGGTGTCCTCGAGGCCCGCGAGAATAGGTTGCTTATGGGTCGACGTGCACCATCGTAGACCGCATAATCGCTTACCACCAGGCGAGATAGTGGCCAAACGTTGGCACATCAAATTGTATATATATAAAAAAAAAACTTACTTTACCGAATGGGATTTATATCGTAATACTCAAACGCTACTCAATTTTAAAGTTCAAATTAAAATTAAGTAACCTTTCCGTACTCGGGCGTAACATAACATACCATCACGCCTTTTATCCTCGAAGGGGTAAGCAGAGGTGCACATTATGCCACTGTACATTGTAACACCCACTTTTCACTATTTATGTTATGAGTCCCATGTAATAGGGGGTGAGCCTATTGCTATATACCGGGCACAATTCCAGACTCCGTGCTAATACTGAGATTTTTTTAAACCCAGTAATACTTTGCCCGACCCGGGAATCGAACCCGAGACCCCTTGCCACTCAGCCATCGAGGCAGTCAACAGTCCCTAGTATATTACAAATTTATTTGATTAAGTTCGATTTTTATCACTTGTTATATTTCTGTCTAAAGCCAAGGTCTAAAGATTTTGAATTAGGATCAGAAATGGTATAAGAAAGCATCTCGTCATCAGCCTGTATTAGTCCACTGCTGGACATAGGCTTCTCCAATGGCACGCCACTGAGCTCGGTCTTCAGCTCTTCTCATCCAACCACTGCCAGCCACCTTGCAGATGTCGTCACTCCATCTAGCAGGAGGGCGCCCTACACTGCGTTTGCCTAGACGCGGTCTCCACTCTAGAAGACGTTTACCCCAACGGTTATCTATCGGTCGAACGGTTATCGATAGAAAGCATCTATAACAATTAAAAACATTTCCATTTTTAATGAATGTTATTCACATATTTTTCTAGGTGCCAATATACAGGGGTTCCAAAGAATCTATAGTGACAACTCCAAAGGTATCAGACTATTATGGTGTCGATGGACTAGGAGACACGGGAGAAACCTTCCCTGATCTGGTACCAGCACAGACTGAGGGTGCGGTCAATGCCCTCATTAAATACTCTAAACTTTATGAAGGTAACTACAGTCCAGATGTTTGTTTGTAATCGATTGTTTCCGAGTTTTTGCTTCTGGAATTGACTGGATAAAACTTTTCTTGGTTCATAAGAAGTCAGTGTCTCATAGTCACTGTTACTGTGACTGTCACATTGATCTCTAGTTCGTAGATTTTCGATTATCATACTTTTTTGTTACAGCTGTAATATTCATTTCTGTCCAAAGTTAATTTATTAGCATTTAATATTTGACTGCCTCGTTGGCTGAGTGGTCGCAAGTGCGACTGCCGGGCAAGGGGTCTTTGGTTCGATTCCCGGGTCGGGTAAAGTACTACAGACTTTTTATATATTCTCAATAGTAGCACGGAGTCTGGAATTGTGCCCGGCATATGGCAATAGGCTCACCCCCTATTACATGGGACTCATAACATAAATAGTGAAAAGTGGATGTTACATTGTACAGTGGCATAATGTGCACCTCTGCCTACCCCTTCGGGGATAAAAGACGTGATGTTATGTTATATATATTTAAAACAAAACTTTTGAAATTTACAAATTGAAGTGTTTTCCAACTTGGATCGAAGTAAGGAATTATAAGATTATTATTTACCTCTTTTACAGGAAACCTGACAGTGATAACTATAGGGACGTTGACAAACGTAGCGTTGGCTATCAAATTGGATCCAGACTTTTTGTCAAGATTGAGCCATTTGTACATCGGCGCTGGACATATTCACAGTAAGATATTCATTTATTATTGTGTGACTTTACCATTTACGGTACCACATTTTTATCATTTGGGAGGCGTACGAAGGTCCGAAGCAACTATGCAACCCTTTAAACAACTTTAATCTAAATGTAATGGACATACAAATCATTTATTATTATTACTGTAAAAATATTATTATTAAAAAGGTATTTATTAATGATTTTATCATTGGGAATAGTAAATGCAGTTACACAAGAGGTTTTGTGTGTATAAAAAGCATTGTTAATCTCTTGTCTGTCGATATATGAGACACATTAGAAAACACGTCATAGTGCCTCGCGTATTCTGCTCATCACATTATTTGAATATGGATAGAAATGTCTAAATCTGCTTCTATTGATAATATGTGTGGCAGTTTATAGAGACGTTAATACATTGAACGCTATGGCGGGCAGCATGTGGGCGACGATAGCGGAGGACTTATCCTCAACAGTATTCTGTCAGCAGTCAAAAGTTTAAATGAACCAGCTGATAAAACTGTTTACGATAAAACCTTATACTATTTTATTTGTCGCGGAGAACCTAACGGGTTTCCAGGGCTCTGGGTCGAAGTGCAGGAGAAGGAAAGGGGTGGTTTTTAGTCAGTAAGAGTCTGACACTCCCTTCCGCCTCACCCAGGCGGGAGAACACATTCGATGATATACCCCCCTTAAAAATACTATTTTACCTTAATATGATAAGTATTTTATTGAACAGGTGAAAAGTATCCATTGCCGGAGTTCAACGCTCGTATGGACGTGGAAGCCTACCACATCGCAGTAAGGAACGCTACTCCGGACAAAGTCACCATCTTCCCCTTCTCACAAACTAAGGAGTACTTGACTTTTAGTAAAGTAAGTAAATTGAGACTAGCCATAGCCCTGAAAGACACATGTAGACAACAATACAAGAACACATAAAAGGAATTTCATGGTGGAATTATCTATTGGTTAAAATTATAACGATTAGCAAGGTTGGCTTATAAATGGGCGATGATTTAAAAGGGGCTTCGTACCTCGGTTAGCGACATAATGTATATGGGTGATAATTCAAAATAATGCCACAAATGAACTAAAATCGCGGGTTACTTAAGTACGTGAATATACTGAGAGCAGTTCTACTAATTTCGAACTACGGAGGGGTTCTTCCTCATAAGCACCGCGGTGCGTACTTATATTCACGTGAGTAACCCGCAATTTTAGTTAATTTAGTATGTCTCGCTATAGTTATTATAAAAACATAGAATGCCACAATTTAAAAATGGCATTATGATGTCTTAGTAGTCTTAAGAATATTTATGATACTAACACCTAAGTACAGGAAGGTTACCAAAATTTTATTTGTAATATCGTGCCATCTCTGTCATTTAAAAAGAATTTGTAGTGACAGGACTATATTTTTAAAATTGAATAGCCTTTCAGTATTAGTCCTTAAATCAGCTTATTACACGTCTAAAAATCTCTGTATGATCACCGTGCTATTAACCATAAAAATTAACAAAGACAATATAACAGTTATTCATGTCCCAGGGACGCGCCAGACTTCAGTGTTCCGGTGTTTTCCTGGTTGTATCTATTGCAGCAGTTTTCAGAGCACCGACTTTTCACTATTTATGTTATGTGTCCCATGTAATAGGGGGTGAGCCTGTTGCAATATACCGGGCACAATTCCAGACTCTGCTATCACTGAGATTTTTTTTAAAACCCAGTAGTACTTTGCCCAACCCGGGACCACTCGGCCGTCAGTCACTAGGCAGTCATAAAAAAAAATATAACAGCTAATAACAATTACATTTATATTCACCAGGATTGGAGATTCAACACACTCGGAAAAATCGACACAGAGATAATAAAAGAACAGAATAAGTACGAAAAGGTAGCTCTGAACAACGAGGAGACCTGGCAGGCGTTGGACCCAGCAACAGTGGCATTATATCTGCGACCAGATCTAGTTGTTGAATACAAATATTCGAAGCACGATGTTCATGTTTGTGGTAAGCATCATTTTTTTATGGCATAAGTCGGTAAACGAGCAGACGGATCACCTGATGGTAAGCAATCGGCGTCGCCCATGGACACCTGGAACACCAGAGGCGTTACAAGTGCGTTACCTGCTTTTTGGGGATTAGGAGTTTGAGGATCGTTGTGGATTCAGGGATTGGAGAGATTGGGGAAGGGGAGGGTAATTGGGCCTCCGGTAACCTCACTCACACGACAAAATACAACGCAAGCGTTGCTTCACGTCGGTTTTCGGTGAGGCTGTGGTATCAATCCGGTCGAGCCGGCCCATTCGTGCCTAAGCATGGCTCTCCTACACTTAAATACATATTTCATTCATATTGGAGATTCATGCTTCAACGCGAATAGGCAGGCTAGATCGGAATGATATGACGGCTTTATAGAAAGACAGGGTGAAACTACGATTATTATGTGTTTCGTTGTGGGAGTAAGGCTTTATAGAGACGGACAGCATTTGAACTGGAATCCAACAGCAAATTGCGATCCGATTGTAGTTCTATTGCAGTCATGACCAAACGATTTTATTTTTATGGGCCAAGCCCGCCACAGCCTCCCAAAACCGCTGGTATCTTGCCATGCAAATAAGCCAGGATCTACAGTAGATACAACCATGAAAACACCGGAACACTAAAGTCCAGCGCGTCCCAGGGACATGAACAACTGTCTTGGTTCCCGCAACGAAGTGAATCAGAAGATATTATAACAGGAGAAGACAAAAAAGCCAATTGATTGCAAACCAAAAGAGCAGTCCGATTATAGAGGTAGTACAATCTCTGTATCCGAACTGCAATTTATAGTTGGATTGCAATTGAAATCCGGGAAACCATTCGCTCGATCCCCAAACACTAAAAGGCTGTTAACGTACTTGTAACGCCCCTGGTGTTGCAGGTGTCCATGTGCCGTCGCCGCCGATTGCCTAGCATTTTGTGCAAAATGAATCGTTGAATTAATTCTTTATTGTATAGTCCAATAACCAAAACACATAATTATAATATGACAAAGTAAATAGAATACGTGTCAGGTGATGATGTGTATCGCATTTTGCAATCTCTTAATCGCTTCCTTCTTTTGGATGACAAAATATATATTAATATTTAATAGATCCAATTGGAGTCTGATATAATATATCATTAATTTGGGTTAATAGATTTTATCAGATGTTTCAGTAAAAATATTTTGATTTATCGCATTGTTTTTAAAGTCAAAGTCCAAGCACTTCCTTTGACAAACTGCGTACTTTGTACTTTTGATAAAGGTGTCATGTGATTATAGAATTTTCCATTACATTTTATCAGTTAATTGAATCAGTTAATGAAATAAGTGTGGGAGAGCCATGCTTCGAAATGAATAGGCCGGCTTGACCGGAGTGATACCAACTGACATGAAGCAAGGCTTGCTTTGTGTTTCGTCATGTGAGTGAGGTTACCGGAGACTCAATTACCCCACTTCCCAATCTTATTAATCGACGAATCCCCAAAAATCCTCAAATTCCTAAACCCCAAAAGACTGATGATGCACTTGTAACACCTCTGGTGTTTTGGATGTCCATGAGCGACGTCGATTGCTTATCATCTGATGATCTGTCTGCTCGTTAACCGGCTCATTTCATTAAAAAAAAATACTTTTTTACAGGTGACAAAAGAGGCATAATGAAAAATGATTTCGTTGAAAAAGACAAGGCGAATGTTCGAGTAGCGTATGCAGTAAAGGCAGAAGATTACAAAGTGTTCCTTCTGAATGTTTTTGGAGCAGAATTAAATGATCCTTCTCGCTCAAAGAAGGCGTAAAAGTATTACAATAATAATAATGAGGGTTTTATAATGTGATATGTATATATTTTTTTTTAATAAATTATGTACCTACGTATTAACGCTGTCTTATTATACCTTGTTTTTTTAAGAATTTAAAAAACAAAGAAAGCTGGTTGACGTTGCTTGATATAAAGCTAAAATATCAAGCAGAACAGTGCCTTTAGCCAAACGCCACTTTAGCGCTTGTCTACAAAGAGAGTAGAAAACTAAATGTATGGGGATGACACTGACAATTCTGTCAAAATTTACGTCAATTCCATATAATTTGGTTTTCTATTCTACATGTAGACAAGCGCTAAATGGCATTTGGCTACAGCTGCAGGTAAGAAAATAATATTTCGTGTAACCTGTCAATGCTAATTCATTTTCACTACATCTAGTGAATTCGCTATCAACTAAAACAAATCGTACAACACTGTATTGTGAGAATAATGTAATAATGTAGGGAGTTGTGGACAGCGCCATCTAGCGGATGGTGTAAAAAGTAATGCTATTTAAGGAGGTTTGAGAGGGTTGTAGTTTTTCATATGTTTGGTAAAGGGCAAGACGTATAGGTAATTAAGAAAAATTGTTTTTTTTTTACATATTGGCCAATATTGTTACCGTTATGTATATAAATAGACACACATACACGTCATGTGTGTTTATGTAGCAAATTTTAATCAGTCTGTTAACACAAACGAACTTGGGGCCAATTTTCCCAACCCCCGATAAATTTTAACTGAGCAATAACTTTGAATATTTAACTGAGCAATTCTTCGAAACTAAAAGCTGTCAAATGTCAATTTTATTTTACAGTTAAGAATTAACTGATGATTGAAAAATCGGCCCTAACATAACATCACGCCTTTTATCCCCGAAGGGATAGGCAGAGGTGCACATTACGGCACTTAGTGCTACTGTACAATGTAACACCCACTTATCACTATCTATGTTATGAGTCCCATGTAATAGGGTGTGAGCCTATTGCCATATACCAGGCAAAATTCCAGACTCCGTGCTACTACTGAGATTATTTTAAAAACCCAGTAATGGTTTACCCGACCCGGGAATCGAACCCGAGACCCCTTGCCCGGCAGTCGTACTTGCGATCACTAGGCCAACGAGGCAGTCTCCGGCCCTTAACTTTTTAAATTCAAAACTTAGAAAACGATCAACCCTTTTAGCAATATAAAACAAAATATTCAATTTAAAAGGCATTCTGTATCGCTAGCTTAAACCAATGATAATTTTCCAATCATATAAACCCTAGATTGTCACCCTTAAGGCTAAACTACAAATTTTATTACCTAACTCTATCAAAAAACGTCCTTTATTATCTTAGATGTAATCTTTTGTCAAAAAAATGTGTCACAGGCAATAAAAAAATAATATTTTTATAGTTATAGTGACATAAAAATCAAAGTTCGTTTTCATTTATGGTCATGGACAACATAAAATTTATGGGAATTTTACGGTCAAAATATTAGCTGTAGTCATGTTATTGGATGTTTCCAGTATTGAGGTTTTACTGTGAATAAGGTTCTGTTTATTGTTTGTGATTTTTCCGATTAGGGAAAGTTGAAAAAGTAACTGTGTCATATAATGAACAAAAATGTAAATAAACGTAGAAGTAAGTGACATTTTATATGTATATTTTTAACCGCCTTCCCAAAAATGGAGGAGGATATCAATTCGGCAGTATGTTTTTTTTATATAGGTATATATTTTATATATGTATTTAATATTTGATGGGTCGACGTTTGACCACTATCTCGCCTCGCTCGTGGTAAGCGATGATGCGGTCTACGATAGAGCACGTCGTCCCATGAGCAACCTTTAACAATGAGTACCGACATGTCTTGTTTATATGTGAAATCAATTGAAATTCTAATCTTTTTATAAAGAAGTTCTTACACATCTTAGCATTTATGATCATGCAAACCAAACGTGTTTGCTTAATTTAAGTTCCATCAGTTGAAGATATCTGCTTCAAAAATTAGTAGCAAGATTCCATTTCTCACACATATATACATACATTGCAAGTTAAATAAAATCTTGTAAAAGAGGGATATATAAGATTTTTGAAAGGAAATAATAGATAAAGTACTCAATACTGTATGATGTATACTGTAATCTCTAGGCATATAAAATCATCTTGGAAAAGATAGAAATTATAACGAAGTATACTTTTGATTTAACTTTCCTTTGGATATTACGAGATGTGTTCATATGTCCGTAATGTTAAAATTCCCACCTAAACGTTATTACCATAACTCTCAAGTGCCAAAATTGAGCAACTAGGGATCAACATAAATTAACGCTTATGGCATTTGTAACAAGTTTTAATATGCAATAACACACGTTTATGTTTACTAAGCACGCTGTAATGAGGGTAATCTAAAGTTTTACTGTGTCATTTCTGTAATGTTTTCGTGTAAAACGACTTCTTAGGCTTAGTATGGAGGTAAAATTTGATGACCAAACAAGAGTTAAGCAATTAAGGTATTTTAACACAAGACAGGAAAATAAAATCACACTGTATATGTGTATGCTAGCTAAGGAGGAAGCGGGACGCGTGAGGCTCAAAGAGCCATCAGACCACCACGAATGGGGCCCAACAGGGCTGATGCCGATTCGGAGTCGCGGAGAACCTAACGGGTTACCAGGACTCCGGCTCGACGTGCAGTAGAAGGAACGGGGTGGTTTTTAGTCAATAAGAGTCTGACACTCCCTCCCGCCTCACCCAGGCCGGAGCAATCATTCGATGATTTTCCCCTTTACAAAAAAAAAACTGTATATGTGTATTTTTTTCTCCGTATTGTTTCCAAACGTAAACCTTAATCAACTTCACGTAAAGTTCACAATTGAACACGTGTGGTCAGAATAACATGAAGTTTTCTGATCACTTTGCCCGTTATTAACGAAGCAAACGCCCGTTATAAGCAAGTCTTACTATAAATAGACTTGCATTATTCAGACTCTTTGACGAAGGATAAGATCACTATGTTCTCTAAAACTACTCATAATAAAAAATAAAAACTTCGTTTAAAAAACCAACTTCAAAATAACAAAAACTAATAACAAAACAGAAAGTAAAAATTAAAAAGTTACTATTATTACTTCTGATAGGTTACACACCCACTGATAGGTTAGAAGTTAGAAGAAAAAAGAACAATCAGCCGAACATAGTACCTCCTCCTATTTTTGAAGCTGATAAAAAGTAACAGTGCCACATATATCTGTGAACACTACAGTCCTTACATGAATTACAGCTTCATATACACGTGTGTCGTGGTGGCCTGGAGGTTTATGACGCCCGCTTCTCATGTATGAGGGTTCGAAACCTACTAACGGCAAGAACCAATGTGACTTTTTCCGAGTTATTTGTACTTTCTAAGATTATTTAGACACCATTGACAAACGATGAAGGAACACATCGTAAGGAAACCTGGACTTGTAATTTTTAATTATAAGTTTGAAACCGCCAACCCGCAATGAGCAAGCGTGGTGATTAATGCTCAAACCTACTCCGTGTGAGAAGAGGCTTTGCTCAGCAGTGGGCACTTATAAACTGTTGATATTAATAATTAACGGTCGTGGGGGCAAGCTGTCTAAATAAAATTTCAAAATGTAAATTTAAAGTCACGAAATGTTAAAATTTTACATACATCTCAAGGTCGGGGGTAAATTTTGAAACTTCTAACTGGTAATTAGATAAAATTCAGTGAATATTTGTTAATATAGAACAAAATGAAACTGACAGGGACACGTGGAATTAACTCATAATAGTTTCGGCCTCAGTTGTGATACCTGTTGGGGAACAAACCTCATTGTTACAAACTTGGTAATACAAAGTTTCGGGTAAACATAGCTTTGACGGAGCTGGAGTTACGACGATACGAGTTTCGAAGGGAGAATGTTTTTTTTTTATGTAATAATATATACGAACAATTTTTTTTGTATAAATATGTAGAATTTTAAGGCAATGCGTTTTTTCTTTCATTTTTATAGGTAGTACAAAATATTTCCGTGGCAGTATCAAAAAAAATGGATTCAGAAATTCAAGTTTAAAGAGTATTTTAAAATGTTTTTTTTTTTTGTTATGGAGTAGAATCTCTTTTATCCCCGAAGAGGTAGGCAGAGGTGCACATTACAGCACTTAATGCCATTGTATAATGTAACACTCACTTTTTGCTACTTATGTTATGGGTCCCATATAATGTCAATGTCAACCAGAATGTCAACGAGCACATGAATAACCTGATGCTAAGCATTCAGAGCCACCCATAGATAGTACAAGTAAGTACAACGTTCTTTTAATCAACGATTAAGCGTTAAAGTATATTTCCCATAAACATGTTTCATAACTGAGAAATAAACAATTTTTAGTCTATGATAGTAACAATACTCGTACTTAAAGAAAAACAAAACAACACATCACCTTAGGGGACATCCCATAACATAAAAGACGTCGTCTGTCGTCCGTTGTAATTATTGTCAAGTCGTCGCGAATGCTTTCAGCCTCCCATGAGTCGACATATCAGCTTGTGAGATTTGTCCTACACTGATATGATAGTAGAGATGTTGCAAAGTACGTATGTAGGGCAGAGCGTTTTAATCGTAGGCAGGGCAAAAAATTATTGCGCGATTTTCTAAAAAAAAATTAGTTGTAGCATGGTGCTTGAAATGATCTATGATAATAAATTTGCACCGCAATACACAGTGCTAGTAAAACTTAGGATGAAAGTTGAATTAAACATCTTCTTCTCCATTGATGACTAAAGGTCTTTATTCAAATACTAGCTTCTATCCGCGACTTCGTACGCGCAATCCCGTTTTCTCCCGTTCCCGTAGGTTTCTTTATATATTACTAGCGGACCCAACAGACGTTGTCCTGCATATCCACTTGAATGTATAAATAAAAATTCATTCAAATTAGTTCAGCTGTTTAGGATATATAATCTAAACAACGACTGCAGCGCTATCTGCCGGGCTGATTTGTGAATTTAAACCATTCCCAGATCCCCTTTAATATACATAAAAAATTTCATCAAAATCAGTCCCGTCGTTTGAGAGAAGTTTATTGACATACACACTCACAGAAGAATTATATATATATAAAGATATAGATGTTATGATCGGTGAAAAGTAGGTATTAAGTACCTACATACTATATATTGTAATATTGCAGCTCTGTGTTCTCATCAGAGTTGTTTTTTTTTAATTAAAAAGGTGTGATGTCATGTTACTATACGCTTTTTTCTTTGTCTCATATAATATCTACTGATTCACTTCGAACCGAGACAGTTATTCATGACTCTGGGACGCGTTGGACTTCAGTGTCCCGGTGTTTTCATGGTTGCACCTACTGTAGATCCTGGCTTACAGACGTTGCAGCGGTTTTGGGAAGATGTGGCGGGTTTGTCCCACAAAAAATACTGAGAAAAGCTCTACTAGTTTCGAACCACAGAGGGGTTCTTCCTCATGAGCAGCGTGCGCAGTCGCGGCGACGTCGCGCAGCTCACGTTTTTACTTGCGACGTCGCGCAGTGAGTATCCCGCGTTTTTACTTAATTTAGTATGTCTCACGATAGTTATTATAAAAACATAAAAAATACGTTATGAAAACTCGCTACTTAATATTGAACTTACCTGACCTAAAATCCTGAGCATATAAGTACCGCATATAAGTACAACTTTATAATTATACTAGCTACTTCCGCTCGGTTTAACACGCTCTGCTCAGCTCCTATTGGTCGTAGCGTGATGTTTTATAGCCTATAGCCATCCTCGATAAATGCGCTATCCAATACAAAAAGAATTATTCAAATCAGACTTGTAGTTACGGAGATTGGCGCGTTCAAACAAACAAACAATAAAAAAACTCTTCAGCTTTATATAATAATATAAGAATATAAGATAAAGGCGTCATCTCATTTCGTGGCTCCACGTCCTCGTTTGCATGGGTCTAAAGTTAGTCCCTGTGGCACTATCAGTCTTTACGCTGTGTTATAGTACCTCTATAAAGGCTAAAGTTGTGCATGTTATGCTATTGTCAAACAATTTTGCATACTTACGTAACTTAGCGCTTGTTGCTAAAGTTATGTTTGAGTATGTAGTTGTAATTATTTTGTGGGTTGATGGATGTTATAAGCAGATATTAGTTGCAATTTCAGTCGAAGTATTTTACCTCATCGATTGAATAGAATATAGAAGAATAGAAGAAGAGAATAGAAGGCAAACGAGCAGACGAATTACCTGAGTAAGCGATCAGCGTCGCTCAATGACACCCACAGTACCATAGGTCATAGGTGTCATAGGTGCGTTGCCGGCCTTTAAAAGGAAAACGCTCTTTTCTTGAAGGTTTGAAGGTTGTATCGGTTCGAAAATCGAAAATTCGAAAGTTGTGTGTAAAAATACCGAGCACACAATCTCGAATTTGGTTTCAAAACCTGATAGAGTGAAAAAGTTTTTGTTTTTGCTAATAAGTTGTAATTGGGAATGGTACTCGGTATCATATTACTTGAGATAATAGTAAGTGTTACATTGGACAATGATGTCTACCTCTGATTATAAAGGCGTTATCATAGTGATTTATTTATTCTATCAAATACTGCTTGACAGTTAATATTTAATTGTACATACATACATACAATACGAAAATGTCATTTAATAGGGGTGATGGCAGGGTATGAAAATTAAAAATCGAATTTGTCCGTCAGTTAGGTAATGAAAAAATTGTAGACACGTATTTTTTTATTTTGCCGTATAAGAAAACATAGATAAAACGAATCAAACTTTAGGAGTGGGAGGTAGCTATATCATTAATGCCGGAATACTGAAACGTTACTCAATTTTAAGTCGTGCTCAAATATCGTGCCATCTCTGTCATTTTACAAAGATAGAACTATACTTAAGCACGACTTAAAATGAGTAGCGTTTCAGTATTCCGAGATTAGACTACCTATAAATCGTACTCAAAATTGACGTCATGCGATATTTCAAATCAACATATCTTCGAAACAATTCGTTTCCGTAAGAAAATATAAAATATGTGTCTAATATTTTTAAATAATCTACCAGATGGACGTTAAAATAATAATTACTCATCTACCCTATTGTACAAACTACATACATATGAACAATTAATCATAAAATAGACAAAGAAAACATAACATTCATACATTTAGAATGCAACACAGATGGTAGAATTATGCGCGAGAATTTCGCAAAGGCACGTGCTTCAAAATTCTATTTGCGATTCACAATTGAGTGTAATCATATCTACGACGATGTTCCCCGCAATTTAGGTTGTCTTGTTAGTTTTCGAAGTCTTAGCCGCTGTTTGTAATGCAGAATAATTGAGTATTGTTTTGGTAATAGCAGAACCGAAGCATCTATCTTAAGTTAGCATTTTAAGTGTGGAAGAGTCATGCTTCGGCACGAATGGGCTGGCTCAACTGGAGTGATACCACGCCCGACAGAAAACCGAGAACGCTTGCGTTGTGTTTCATCATCTGAGTGAAGTTACCAGAGGCCCAATAATCCCCCCTCTCCAGTCCCCCAAACCCTGAATTCTCCATTAAATTCCCCCATTTCCAAAAGGCTGGAAACGTACTTGTAACGCCTCTGGTGTTTCAAGTGTCCATGGGCGGCGCCGACTGCTTACCATCAGGGGATCCGTCTGTCG